TGGCGCAGGGGTTGAAGACAGCGCTATCAAGCTCTCCCCAGCCACTGCAGCACGAGTTCAATCCCAGGCTGGCCAGGGAGCTGACCCACATGAAGAAGCAGACCTCTCCTGACTCCCTGCTGCTCCCCTCAGCAGTGTTATCTCAGTCCATCTGCCTGTTCTGCTCCTTGCTCTGTCTCTGGTGGATCCTCTCACCCCCCCGCACCTCTGGTCTGCACCGTAGTTCTTGTATGCATAAATAAATAAATAAATCTTTCCTTTCTTTTTTTTTTTAAAAAAAAGGGCACTGGGGCCTCCCCGGTGGCGCAGCGGTTGAGCGCTGGGTTGCGAAGCTGCCTGCAGCCTCTGCAGCGCCGGTTCGATCCCCGGCTGCTCCCCGGCCACCAGAGGAGGGTCCCGCATGGCGCGCAGACCTCTCCTGCCGTCCGCTGCTCCCCTCAGCAGTGTACTTCGGTCCTTCTGCCTGCTCTGCTCCCCGCTCTGGCTCTGGTGAATCCTCTCACCCTCCCGCGCTTCTGACTGTACCCAGTGCTTGTGTAAATAAATAAATCTTTAAAAATATAAAAAATAAAAAAATAAAAATAAAAAAGTGCATTGTAGGATCATTGCAGAAAAAGTTCAACATGTAGACAAACAGAAGGAAATGGATCTTCCCCCCATTGAGCAACACCCCAGTATGGGGATCCGAATGACATGCCCGCTGTAATCACGGAAAACACGCCCACTCCGTAGTTGTTGGGAGTCTGCTACTCTTTTAACTGCGTGTGTTGTAAACATTTTCCTGTTTGTAAATCTTTTTCTAACAAAGTGTTGAATGGATACGTAATATTTCCTTATTTCGGAGGGTACTCTGGCGTGAAACATTTAGATTGTCCCTATTTATTATTATGTCACCTTAATTTTGGCAGGCTTCTGTGTGATTCATTTCCATCTCTTTGTGAGTGAAGTTGAATTTTCCATGTGATTTGTATCATTTCATTTATTTAACTTTCTTAGTTTAAATTAAAAAAAAAAGTCATCAGGTGAAGCTCTTTCCTGCAGAGCGCACCACACTCTTTGTGTTTCGGTGGTCTTTTCTTTTTTTGGTGATAGGCAGGAGGCGTGAGTGTGTTAAGGCTGAACTTTATCTTCCAGAGACCGACTCTGACATCTTGAACGAACCATTTTGAATTCAGGTCCATATGGGTCTCCCCCTGACCCACCCAAGCAAACCGGTGTTTTGCTTTTTTCCTAGACTTCTTTCTCCTTGACAATTTCCCCCCAGCCTGTGCATCTCAGTTGAAGTTCTCAGCCCCCAAACAAGGCAGACTTTGCGGAGGGCTCCTCACCCAGTGCGCACCCCAGAGCACCTGGCCACGTAGGGAAGGCCGCTCCTCCTGGCCTGGACTCTTCGCTGAGTCCGGCGTCTCCCGCCCCTCCTGCCCCGACCTCTAGAACCTCACCACCTCCCTCTACACCAGCCGCTGCATGAGGGTGGACGGTGGACCCCCAGAGGTTCCCGAACCCCTCAGGACCGCTGGTGGAGGGACCCTATAGGGGTGCCAGTATTAGAGGGAAGTCTTCTTGTTGGGGGTTGGGAAGAAGAACTTGTCAGGTCTGTCGTGGCTGAAGCCTGCAGCAGCACCCCGCTCTCTATAGCCCCCTTGCTTCCAAGCAAGGCCCTGAAGGTTGGGGTGCGCTGGCTTGGGCTGCTGGCAGCCCGCCTGCCCTCGCCTTCCTGAGTCCCAGGCGGGTCCGCTCCTTCGCCCTGTTATTACCGCTGGCAGCTTCATTTGTGCCTCTGGCGAAGGGACACAGGTCCTGCCAGTTCTCCTGGTCTCCAGCTGCTCACCGCTGCGTGGGGAGGGGGAGGCGCCCGGGCCTGTTACCTGGAGCCCCCCCAGAGGCGGGGGAGGCAGGGAGGGGGCCGGGCAGGAGCCGGCTGGACTGGACCAGAGGAGAGGGCAAGGGCAGGATGCGTTTCTAGACCGAGGTTGCTCTCCTGCACCGCCGGCCCTTCAAGGAGGAGGTCAGGGGATGGCGGGGGCGAGGCAGGAAGTTCAGGTCAGCGCTCCCGTGGGCTTGGGGTGCTGACCCTCCCTCCGCCCCTGCTCGGTGTCCTTCCTTTAGAATATTCTCGCTATCCGAGGCACAAGCCCACCTGGCGTGTCTGTGGCAGGAGCTAGGCCCAGTCCCCTTGGCTTTGTTGTCTCTCCGAGGTCTTTGGCTTTTCCCTGTATTTGGACTAAGAGTTTCCAGAACTCTCTTTCTTATATTTCCTCACATATCCTGGGAAGACAGAGAAGACCCTGGAGAGAGCCAGGCCTCAAGCTGGACCCTGCAGGCTGCCTCTAGGGGCAGCGCGGGGCCCAGGCGGCGTTAGCCTCCTTCTGCTTGGCCCCTGTGTGGAGAGGGGGCCGTGACGTGACCTCGGGGCCCTGGGAGGGTGCAGAGGGTCTGCACCACACAGCAGGCACCTGGCAGGTGGCGCTCACCTGTGCCTGGGCTCCTCGCCTCCTTTCCCTTCTCAGCTCTGCTCACAAAGGTGACAGTCTCCTTCCCTCCCCCACCCCCCCCACCGCCTCCACTCCCCTCTGTCCTCACCCAGAGCGGGCCCACCCTTCCCCTGTGTGGAGCGAAGGGGGCTCTGGCTCAGGGGCTGCTTGGTCTGGGCAGCCCTGGCCCACGGCACAGTGTGTGGCACTGAGAAGGGGCTCAGGGTCAGTAGACAGAGGGCTGAACCCAAAGGGTCTACCACTGGATGATTTGCGAGACAAGAGCCCAGACCTCTGCGCCTGGCAGACTCAGGCCAGAGCCTGGCTTCGTGGCTTCTGCCGCATGACCTTGAGCAAGCTGGGTCATCTCCCTGGGCCTCAATTTCTTTGCCTAAAAATAGGAACAGTAATAGCTACCTCGCTGGGGTGTTGTGGGATTAGCGATGATGTCAGACAGAAGCCCAGCTCTCCTGTTGCCTGCGCGTAGTAGGAGCTCAATAAACGCAGGGGTGATTAGCAGTTATTACAGGGCTGTTTACGTGTCCGCCCTGAGCACAAGCCTCGCCCTGGCACTGGGCTTCCCAGTGAGTGGCACCCAGGCCCCTCGAGCCCCCGGAGCCTCTCCTGGTTTGGGCCCCTGTCTCGATGCCACGGCCCCTCCGCTGTGACACACACGGGCAGGCTGGCCTGCGGTGGGGGTGGGGAGGCTGGTCGGAGCTGGAACGGCAGAAGCTTGGGATGGGGCGGGCCTAGAAATCAAGGTGGCTGCTGTGGCACAGGGAGTGGGCTACTGAGGGGAGCCCCTTCCCACAAATCCAGGTCTTCACCACGCCCTGTCCAGAGCACAGGAGCAGCCTCCCAGGGGCCCCTCTCTCCCCTGGCCTATTCCCTTCTGCCCTGGCCCTGCCCTGTTGGGAGCAGAGCTTAGGCCTGGAAGTCATAAGCTATGGCTGGCCCAACCTTTTAGAATCTCATGGGTGGAAAAAGCCATAGGGACTGTTTGGTCTAGTTTTCCCTTTAGAAATCCCTAACAACAGACTCTCCATCCAGTTGACAACCGGGCCGCCCCAGCAGGTTAGTCAGCGCTGGGCTTAGGAGGGTCTCCTGCTTCCTGCAGTGGGGCCTGCTCCCCTCTGATTCCCAACTCTGGGCCGGGTTCTGCTCATAGAACCTCCCTGTTCTGAATAAGCCTCTTCCCACCGCTCCCCGAAGCAGCCATGTGGTTGGTGTCCCCATCCCGGAGCCACCTCAGCTTCAGCCCCTCCTCCTCTCAGCCGCCGTCCGAGGGGGCCTGGAGACCTAAGTCTCTGTAACAGAAAGGACTTTCAACCTAGCAACCCAGGTCACTGTGTGCAGGAGGAAGCTGAGAGGTTGGTCACCCGCCCAAGGCCATTCCGACAGTCGGGGCGGGCACGCCCTCTCCGCTCCCTGCCACCCACTGGCTGGTGAGCAGCCCAAAGCCCGGGGCGGCCGGCGCTTGTTGACGCCACACTCGTGATATCTCCCTAATCACATTCTCCCTGTTCTCGGCAGCCCCACCTCCCTATCGACAAGGGGACCCTCGAATTGACTAAAACTCCTAATTGTTTTATGACTTTACTTTCTTCTGACGTTACTTTCTTCTGATAATATATGCTGGTTGTAAAAAAATGTGAAAGCACATAAAAATACGGAAGCGTAGCCTCCACAGCCCCACGGTTGCCGTGGCCTTCCCACCCGGGACTGGTCCGTCTTCAGGGGTGAAGGTGGGGCTCTGCCTCCCCCCGCCGGAAGGCCTGGCCTGGGCTTTCAGCCTTGTTTTGTTATCGGTTCCCTTGGCTTGAGGGTGGGGTTGGAAAGAGGCCTGTGGCGTGGACAGAGCTGCCACGTCCCTCTGATGGACGCAGAGGGACGCCTGCCCACCCCTCTCTCGGGGCCTCGGGTTCCACTTTCCCCAAACACCGCTCTCCTCTTGTTCATTTAGAGTCTGTTTCTCCAGCCCACTTGGCCCCCCTCTTCCCAGGAGCCAGAGAGCCCTTTGTGGGTTCCAGAGCGTTTGTGGCCTGGCTGCTCCGCCGGCCCTGGTCTGTGCTGACCTGCCTTGATCCCACCTCCTCCCGTCCTCTACCTGCAGTGGCCTGTCTCCTGGTGAGGGGCCCCTATACTGGCTTCGTTGTTGTCATGGCGCCCGTGCTGGGGCCTTGAAATGGGACTGTTGGCTGCCCTTCCCGGGGTGGGGACTCACCCTGGTGTGCCTCGCGCTTGAGCTCTTCTGAGGAGTCTGAGGGAGCAGGAAGGAGCCCCGCACTTCAGGAAGAAGCTTGTGCTGGCCTCCTCCTAAAGCTGCTGCAGCAGCGGGTCAGCTGTGTCCCCAGCCAGGGTGGCTCTGCTCACCCGGACACGCAGATGGGGCTTTGCTGACCTTCTAAGTCTGGCGGCGCCAGAGATAAGGGAAGCCCTCTGCCCCTGGCTGCTGTCTAGGGAACGCCGGGAGACCAGGGCGTCCTAGGAGCCCGCCGCAGACCAGCATCCTCCTTTCCCCTCCAGCACCAGCCTCCTTCCCGGATGGATACAAACACCTGGCTGAGCCTGGCCTCCTCCATCACCAGGCAGAGGTGTGACTGAAGAGCTCTACACCGGGACTTGGGGACCAGGGTCCTTCATGCCAACACATCTCCCCACGTGAGCCTGGGTAAGTGATGGGGAGGCCAGGTAATCTGCTTCCTTCCCATCCGAATCACCTCCTGCTCGCCACCAAGCGCAGCCCAGCTGACCGTGGTGCTTGCGCCAGCCCCAGTGCAGAGTGGCACCTGCTTCTCTGCCTGGGGTGAGGGCAGCACTGGCCTCAGAGGGTGCTGGGAGATCAAGCAAACCCGGGTGTGTCAGACACTCGGGAGGGAGCTGGCATAGAACGAGGACTGTGCACAAGGGCCGTCCTCCCTGCCCACCCACACCAGGGATCATGGTCCCTGAGGCCCGAGTGACCGTGCCTGCCCGGTGGAGAGCCATCGGCTGGGGTGGGGGCGCGAGGTGGGGGAGAGCTTGGGGGCCGGCCCAGGGGTAAGGGCAGGCCACCTCATCTATGTGGGTCAAGTCCATGTTGACCTGAGGCCCACTGGTGATGGAAAAGGCTGAAGCTTTGACTGGAATGTACCAGTTTGATAAATTACCCTGTGGGAAGAAAAAGTGGCCCCTTAGACAAAAAAGCAGATGTGCAGAAAACGATAGTTCTTTGATTTTAATAGTGGGGGGGTGGGGGGAGTTATAAAACAAAACAGAGAGCCTTGTGACTCCCTCGGATTGCAGTGAACACCAGGGTACAGAAATAATGTAAACAAAAGTGTTTCCAGTCACGTTATTTATACTGTAAGGCTCCCAGGACACAGCGCCCAGACCCTCCATCGTCAGCCCGAGGTCTCTGGAGACATAGGAGAGTTAGGATTGACTGGGGCCCCAGGGGCCACGGCTGGTTCTGCCTGGGTCTGACTTCTGGGGGGCCTGCCCCTGTTCTTTGGGCATCTCTTCAGTTTGTCTCCTCCATCTTTGGCTGCCTGGCTCCCCACCGGCATCGCTCCCTGTGGCCCTCACCCCTTTCCTGTTACTAGCAGGAAACCCCACCAACCAGAAGCCCGGCTGAGTCCCTCAGATGGAGCCAGCTGGCCCAGGGCAGACTCCTTAGGTGTTAGAAGAGTCAGAAACAAGGCTACAGAGTAATTTGTCAGCCATCTAGACTGTCCTCTCTCTTAGGCCTCTGAAGTATTTGCTTATTATTCTGTCCCAATTATGGCAACTGTCCTAGGCTTCTTGATTCAACCAGGAGAAGAGCAGGCGCTGGCCCAGCTGTGCTGCTAGTGCCTCAGCAAGGACCCAGAGCCTCACAGGTGCGCCCCCACCCCAGGCTCACCCGAGAGCCACTGCTGGACAAACTCTCCATCTCCAGAGGGAGCTGGTCCATGGAAGGCCTGTTATCAGGAGACAAGGCAGCTCTGGGTAGCCCCAGAGCGGAAGGCGAGAACAGAGAGCACAGTGCATCCTCAGGCAGGACCCGAGGAAGGTCTTAGATTAAATATCTGGGGGGTCGGAAGGAGGGGTCACCGGGCAGCAGCCCAGGGCCCAGGCCCAGAGGAGGGCGAAGCGTCCTGGATAAATAGAAGCGCACGGGGAGGGAGGAGCCAGCTCGTCCTCTCTTAAAAATAGTTGCCATCGGCACCAAAAATATATTAATATCTGTACATTTGTCATCTTAAAAAAAAGGAAATAAAACCTCCTTGGCACCTTAGAGTTGATTATTTAAAATGAGGTGATATGTGGAAAGGCCCGTGTATGCGGCTTGCACACACATCACAGGTGTGTGTGTGAGAAGCCCCGCAGGCCTGAGCACCGGGAACACTGCTGGGGCCTCGCCAGCTCCCCCGCGGCTGTTTGCTGCGGGTGCCCTTCGCCGTGCTCCAGAGACAGAGGCCACAGAGTCACCTTCAAGCACCTCCTCTGGGAAGGAGTCTGTCTCCTCGGGCTTGCTGCTTCAAACCCAAGGCAGCCGTGGCCTCGGCCCCGCCTCGTGCTTCTACACCTCTGCCCGGTCAGACCCGCCTCGGCCGTGAGACACCCACGCAAACACAAGTACAGGTCAGTTGGGGCCTGCGCCAGCCTGTGTGCGGGGCTCCAGTCCGGACCCCCGTTGTCCAGCCAGAGGCCGCAGGAGGGCGCGCAGCCAGGCGGCGGGGAGGCGAGCCCGGCCCTCTGGGGCCTGCCCAGCCAGCCGGCTGCTCAGAGGTGGTGGCCGCCCTGCAGCAGGGAGGTGACAGTGTTCTGCAGGGCCACAGCCACCTTCTTGGAGGCCTTGCGCAGCAGCGGGCTGTCAGGGTGGTGCTCCTTCAGGTGTAGGACGTGGCCCTCCTGGCTCTCAGACGTGCAGCCACACTCCTCACACACGTACAGCTTGGCGCGCCGCTCCTTGTACGCGTACTTCTGCTGCACGCCGTGGATCTTCTTGAGGTGGGACTCCAGTGAGCAGCGCTGCGTGAAGGCCTTGTCGCACAGGCTGCACTTGTAGGGCCGCACGCCTGCGGGGAGGAGGGCGGGTCAGGGCCTGAGGGAGCGGCTGCCACTTCCCGCCCACTCACAGGCCAGGCCCCCCACTGGCTGTGGAGGCCCGTCCAGCCACCGCGCCACCCAAAAAGGCAAGAACCTGACACCGAGGAGGACATCGGCTCGGGGTACCCAGATGCCCGCCAAGGCCACCCAGGACGCCTCTGGGTGCTCTTACCGGTGTGGGTGCGCACGTGTCTCTTCAGGTCGAAGGTGTCGTTGAAGCCCTTCCCGCAGTAGGTGCACAGGTGCCTCTTGACGTCGTTGTGACACTTCATGTGGCGATTGAGCATGCGCTGGTAGGTGAAGGCCTTTTGGCAGATGTGGCAGCTGAAGACATCTCCGCTGGGACTGTCCCCCAGGGTTACCTGCGGGCAAGACCGGCGTTTGTGACAGACAGCTGGCAGTTGGCAGGTTGGGAAGGGACGAGGGCCACCCCACAGCCCCCAAAGAAAGAAGAGCCTGCCCCCCAGGGCTGACACCTCTGCGCCCTTTGCTCCCAGAGGAGCAAAGGTACTGGCAGTGCGGGGGCCTCCTGGCAGGTTCCTGAGTCACCTCTCAAGGTGGCCACTGGGCCCTTCTTCACTACTTGGGATGGGCAGCTCCTGCCCTACACAGCTGGCTGATTCATCCCGGCAACCATTTTGGAGAAATTTCTTTCCGTTAGCCCACTTTGCCTCTGTCCCTTTGGCTCTCCACAGTCCTGCCGGGGCAGTAGGTGCACAGGTGCACTGGAGCCCTCGGGGCCGGCCGGGCCCTTGCTTTGACCGGGTCAGGCTCCACAGGGTCTGGCTGGAGCCCCTTTCCGCCATGATCACCCTCTTCCTTATAATACTGTTCCTTGTAAAAATATACATATAATTATGGAAAATCTGCAATTACGCAGACGTGGAGACAGGCACGAGTCCGGGGCTTGTCACTCCAGAGGAGTCTCATCTCATCTTTCCCTCCCTACCTCCGTTCTGGAGTATGTTAAGCGAGTCCTGGACACCCCTGGCCCCCAGAAGACGTGGCCCCAGAGCTCTGCCTCCCTTTCCGACCGGAGTTTGCTTATACTGCAGCAGCTGCGTGGCTGACACCTCCCCCGAGTCCCCTGGGCACCGGGAGTGCCCGTCACACCACCTGCCTGGCTCTGCACTGCTCGGGCACCAGGCACAGGCCCCTTGCTGCTATTCAGGGCCCCCCGCCCCTCTGCTGCCCCTGTCTGCGCTCTCGGGGTACCCGCCTGCCCATGGGTCCCTGGTAGGAGGTGGCACCTAGGGGATGGGCTGTCTTTCTGGCAGAGAGGTTGTTCCCCTCTTGTTACCCTACACCCTGGCCTCCACAGGAGGGGAGGAAAGAACGGGCATTCTATTGCCAGTGTCTCCATCTTTGGGCATCCAGGTGGGCACAGGGAGTGTCCTGCCACCACATCACTGCTGGCGGTGCTGCAGCCCCGGAGCTCTCCGGAAGGCCATGCCGCCTGTCTGTGCTCTGCTCTCAGCAGGGCAGCTCCCTGGCCCGCTGCCCCCCCTTCCTGCTCTGGCTGCGAGCGCAGCGGGCGGCTTGCCGGAAACAAGGCCCTGAAGGCCACGGGGCAGGAGGGAGCACTGGTGGGCCGGTGACCACCAAGCACCAAGGGGACCACAGGGCAGCACAGGTGGGGACCCGGGGAGGGTGGCTCAGGCTCCCTGCCTCTCCCAGGGCTTCTGTGTAAGGAGGGGAACCCCGGAAGCCAGAAAGGGAACGAAGCCACCCCGGAATGAACTCATGGTTTCCTCCTAATACCTGACATTATACTTCAGACCCACTTGTCTTTCTGTCTGCCCTCACCCTGCACCCCAGCAGCGCGCACTTCGCTGCAGAAACCCTGATCCAGGGCCAAGGCACCTCTGCCGAGGTCCCCCGTGGCCTGCCCGGGTCTGCACATGCACCCCAGTCCCCAGAGACGGCGCAGGCCCAGTACCTTCATCTTGGGGCGCAGGGAACTCTGTTCTCTGCCAGCCGCGTCTGCCAAGCGGCCCATGTCTTCAGAGGGCAGCTGGGCCACCACGCAGGGCCCCGGGGCCACGCTGTAGCTTGAGTCTCGAAGGCTCATGTCCAAGGCCAGGGAGCAAGAAGGGGGTTCGGCCACCGATGGCTCTGGCTCCCGGTAGGGCTGTGGTGGGCAGAAGCCCAGGCTGACTGGAGAGAGAGGGGACAGCCAGGTGAGGACTGGGCAGAGAGAAAAGGATTCTCTTGGGTTTCAAAAAGGTTCCCTGAAATGAGCTGCTGGAGCCAGAGTCTCCGTCCCTCCCCTTGCAGGCATGAGGCGGGGCAGGGCTCCCCGTCCACTACACGCCACGCCTCCTTCCTGCTCCATTAAGGTAATTACAGGTGACGCCAGCCAAGCGCCACGGCCCCTAGGCCTGCCGCTGAGTCACTGGTGTCTTAGCGGAACTGGGAGGACAGCGCCTGCCCTGCCAATTATCCCTGCACAGTGCCTGCCTGCCCCACCTGGGCCTGTCCCTCTGGATTCCAGGCCTCGTCCACACTCCTGGGGGGGCCCTGGGCCCAGGGACTCATCCTTGTCCCAGAAGGGACCCTGGTGGTCTGGGCTACTGCGGGTCTCCTGCTTCCAGGTAGATGGAGCGGCTGGCCTCGGGGGGCTGGGGGGGCCCTAACGCCCTCCTCCTCCAGGCCAGCTGCCCCTGTGCTTGTGGACCATCAGGACTCCACAGTCCCCACTCCTGCTGGTCCAGCCTGGCCAGGTGGGGTGGAGCAGGGAGGAGGTCAGGGAGCAGCAGGTGGATGCGGCCTAACAGTCTCCTGGGCGGCGGGCGGCCTGCCCGGTGGTTACGCAACTCTCCCACAGCAAGGACCGCTGGCTGGCTGGCTGGCTGTGAGAGCTGGGCTCCTGGCCTCCACGCTGCACCCCGATACCTGGCAACCCTTTTGATGCAACAGCTCCCCAAGGCAGACACCTCACACTAAATGGGGCCAGAGAGGCTTGGCCCCAGCCTGACGAGAGAGAAGAAGGCAGAGCTCTGTGACACGGAGACCTGTCCCGGAGCCAGCGGAGCGCAGTGGACAAGCAACGTCTCCATTAAGTCAGTGTTTTGCTTCCCAAGGGCCAAGCTCTGGCGGGCCAAACCTCTCCAGAAGGGACAATTTCCAGGCTCTAGAAGGCAAAATCCAGAGGGGCCTAGGAAGGAAAGGATGGTGTGGTCCAGGGAGAGGGTCTTGGGGTTGAGTTAGGGGCTCGGAACCACGACTAAGGCCTCTGCGTCCCCGCCGGGGCTGGAGAGGCCAAGAGTGGAGGGACCCCGGGAGGGACCACCGAGGGGCAGGAGGGTCGCTGCCTGGACTATTCCAGAACGGTGGAAAGGTCGCAGGGAAGGCAGAGGCAGTGCTGATTGGAGGAAGGTGAATGTGAAAGAACGAAGTTTCGGGAGAGGCCCCAGTGCTCGCCCCCTCAAAACACAACAAAGGTCTGACAGGAGAAGAATGTGCCCGCCCAGAACCCGTTCTGCGGGCACTGGCGTCCGTCTGTCCGGGGACTTTAATGAGCCACCTCATTCCGAGAGTTGATTCACCGGTGCCCGGCCCTGGCCTGGCCTCTGAGCTGGCGGGCGCCTCGCTCCCAGCCTGGACGGCTGGACCGCAGGCCTGAGCTGTGGCCCCTCTCGCTGCCCTGCAGGGCCAGGTCTGCCCTCGGGCGGATGGGGGCGTGTCAGGGTGCAGGCGCGTCTGATGCCAGTTCACAGCCACCGGAGAACTTGGCCAAGAACTCAAAGCTGAATGACGACTCCCATTTCTCAATCCAGGTAGACAAAGGAACCTCTACCTTCCGCCGCCTTTTAGTACCGGATGGATGTGGATAACATGCGCCCCAAAGCTAGAACCAGGCCGCCCTGCCTGCCCCTGGCCGCACACCTGCACTGGGGCAGTGAGAGCAGGTGAGGGCTCACTGGTCTGCGCCCCCCAGCTCCACTAGAGGGGTATTAGCGACTTGGTTTCCCAGGAGTCAGGCCAGCTGGGGAGGGGACCTGCTCTTGGTCCCAAAGAGACCAGGGGATGCTGGGTGGAGGGCAGGGAGGGGGCCTCTGCCCCTGAGCAGGCAGTCGGGGGCAGAAGAGGCTGCCAGAATGGGGGTGTTCGCTCATCCCACCCACCCCGCCAAACCTGTCTCCCTCCACCCCTGTGAGCGTGCCCGTGTGGCCACACGCATGGGCGGTGCTCCCCGCGTGCCGCTCCTGTCCCTGGGTGTCACCAGTGGCAGGAAGCCAGAAGCAGAACTGGTCGGGGCCCTGACATGCTGCTCTGTCCCCTAATTAAAGGTTTCCGGCAAGGCGGTGGCCACTGTGGCTGCTCACCGCCCGCCCACGACTGTGTAGTGTGGCAAGGCCAAGCAGCCTGGCCCTCTCCCTGTTCCCGGGGCTCCCTTCGGTCGGGCCCCCCTGTCTCCACCTGGATGATGTGGAGGGCACAGGGCCAGAGCAGGGAAATGGACACGGAGGGGCCTCCTGCTCCCTTAGCTCAGCAAGTCCCCCCTCGGGTTGAAGCTGCTTCCCCGCTATTGGACTGAGTGCCAGACCCCACCCGAGCTAGGCCTCAGGCCAGGGCCGGGCTCTCTGGGGAGAGCAGGTGAAGCAATGCCGGACACCCGCCCCTGGGTGCCCTGCCAACCACACGGTGCCTGGGCTGGTCTGGAAGGAGCGAGGGGTTCACTCAGCTCTGAATGGGGGCATCCGGTGTCGGCACAGTCCAGTTTGGTGTTAGGTGCTCTGGTCAGGAGTCAGGGTCCATCCGGCCCAGCAGTAGCCTCGCAATGCCAGCCTGGCAGAGCGGGCGGCCCTGGAGATGCAAAGGGGTGTCTCCTGCCTTTTGTCTCCCTCTGCGAGCTGTCAAGAGCAGTATCTCCCTCCTTCCCCAGCCACTGTCCACACCGTGTCCAAATGAAGGTAAAACTGGGCCTCGGCCCTCACACCCAGGTGGACGGCCCTCACCAGCCAGGAACTGCATTTCCATTCTCTCCACCTCCTGTCCCACGGGGATGGGCACACCTGGGGGCTCCATGCGGCCCTCGTGGCCAGCCAGCTCCCCCAGCCGCCTGGCCGCACTCCGCTCCACGCCTGGGCCCAGCGGACTCGCTTGCACCCGCTCCCTCTCTGGGATCAACAGTCTGGCAGGGGCCTGCCCCGTCACCCAAGCTTGTGACATCGTGGGTGCTTGGGTGAGGTGCCCACAGGACAGTCGGAGCCCCCGTAGGCCCCTGCCCGGCCCGGCCTGCTGTGGCGTCCCCATCGCTGAGTGGCCCTCTCCGCTCCCCGGCCCACAGGCAGCGCCTTCCCAGCCAGCTCTTCCCAGGAGAGGCAAGAACAAGATCTTCGAGGCCGTATCGTTCCTGCCTCCACGTGTCCTCCGGGGCCCAAAGCTGCCTTTGCGGACCTTTCTAATCCAGCCTGGAAAGGGAGCTGCTGGCTTCCCACACTGGCAGAGCCAGGCTGGGGAAACGCCAGTCTCCCACACGGCAGCCAGGGCCCCCCGGGCCAGGTGTGTTGGGCAGACGGGCTGGGGGGCTGGAGCCGCCAAGTGGTCCCAGCGCACCCCCTCTCTCGTTTCCCAATGGTCACTAGAGACAATTCTCTACCTGTCCCCGGGGGCTGACCCTCTGGAGCCACTCTGGGCCTTGGGAGATGCCACTCAACAAGGGGCCCGGGGGCCAGGCTTCCCCGCTGTGCTGCCTGCGTCCCGCAGTCCTGGACTGGACTTCAGCGCCCGGGCACAGGTGTCTGGGCTCATCCTCAAGAATCCCGCCTGCTCCCAGCACGCCGGTCAATATTGACACAGAAAAGGAGGAACGCCGGGGAGAGGGCAGGGCCGGCACCTCTAGAATTTGCCTCGGCCAGAGAGGCTGGAGAGGTGGTCAGACTGGGGTCCTGCTGTCCGAGTGGCCAGGTTGGGGCCCCAGGCCTCCTTCCAGGTGCCCTCCAGTGCTGTGAGGGTCTCCGAGGGCCCTGTGGGGGAGGTCAGAGCTCAAATGCTTCCCTGTCCCCCGCCTTCCCGGCCCCTCCCAGCGGAACGGGTCCATGCAAAGCTGGTCTGTACGTGCTGACTCTGTGAAGTGGGGTACAGGAAACGTGCCCAGTCGGCTCCTGGGGTCACGGTCGGCTGGGGATGGAATGGCCCAGCCAGGGGACAGGCCACCACAACCCCCCCCCCCAGCCATCTGAGGCACCCGAGCATGGCCAGAGAACATTCCCTTTCTCATTTCCAAAAGCTGTGGGAAAACAGCCAGTGGGCCACATGGCTTTAGAGGCAACATTAAGTTCCTTGACTTCTACCCTTTACTTGACCCTACAGGGCTCTCCCTCACCAGAGCGAAGAGGGCGAATTCTCACCAGCGCCCTGGAGGGGAGGCCCCGGCCAACATCCAGGGGCCGCCCAGCAGGCTCCCCTCACCTGGACAGCGGCAGGGACAGACCGCCCAGAAGCCCTCCTCTGCCCTGGTGGGACAGCGCCTGGGGCCAGGGTCTCGCCAACACCCCCACTGTGGCCGCCAGAGCCCCGATGGGGAAAGTCACCGGGACGCCAGGAAGTCAATGGTTTGAACAAACGGAGTTTCTTTGTCCTTTGTAAAAGTCAACACATGATCTGTTCCTGATTGGGATGTGAAATAAAACTAAAAATAACAGCGCACCGAGTCTCTCGCAAGGCTCGGCTCACCTTTAACACAGTCCAAGTGCAGGTTATCAGATCCCAAGGAGCAGCTGAGCAGCAAGTCAAACACAGCGAGGGAGGAGGCAGGCGGGGAAGGGGGCTAGGCCCCCGCCTGTCTGGGAACTTGGGAGCCAGGGACTGCAGTCCTGGCCCACGCCCTAACCACCCCAGGTGAGGAGGCAACTCGCCTCCCTATTTGTATCAGTTTCCCCGCCGGGGTTATCTGGGACTTCTGGCACACTCCCTTGTTTTGAGGAGGCTGTAAAAGCAGGGCCGGGCACTTGAGATAAGGTGAAGCTGTGAGACACAGTCGGACAGCGCCATCAGATTCTGGCCCTGGCGCCACGCAGACCGCCCCGCTACACCCACTGCCTTCAGCAACGAATTCAGGAGGGAAACTGAGGCAAGAGCCCTCCCAGGGCCCCTCACTGCCCTCATTTCACCACTTTCCTACAGGGCCTGGGGCGGGGCGGGGAGCCTTCCGATCAAGGGTCAAAGTCAGTTGGTTAATTACCACCTCTCCCCCTTTGGAGGCGCTGGGCTGGGTGTTCGGTGTGTCCAGCACCCCACCCCCCAAGGCTGGGGAGGGGGGTTCGCAAGGAAAGTCGGCAATTTCCGGAGCAAAGATTTTGCTGGGGCTGTGGGAGCTGGGGGAGGACGCACGGCCCTATTCTCAGGTCACACAGAAGATGCCCCAAGAGGAGGAAACAACTCGGGTTACTCATTCACGCTGATACCAACGCTGTCAAGGCGTCTTCCGAAAACAAGTGGGGCGGGCGCTTCCCGGGGCTGGTCCCGGGCTGTGGGGTGGACTCCTCGATCCACTGTCCACTCGGTTGTGTCAGTGCAACAAGGAAGGCGCCGAGTTTCCAGAAGAGGCGAGACCTGATCGCATCTTTGTCTTTGGCGCAAGCGGGGCGCAGCCCGGCGCTTCCCTCCGTTCCCCACGCACCCGGGCCCGGGAGCCCCCCGGGCGACGCTGGCGGGGACTCTCCAGCCCCCGCCGTCCGGCGCGGGGGGCCGGGTGACGCGGCCGACACCGGGTCCTCTCATATTCTGCACAAATCCCGCGCGGAACTGCAGCTCGCTCCCTGCCCCCCCGCTGGCACCGCTCCAGGGCCCTCCTCCCGCCTCATAAAAGTCCTAACTTTCGGGATTTACGACGCCGGAGCGGAGGGTCGCGGGAGCGGTGACACACCCCGCTGCCTCCCCTGCGCCCCGAGGCGGGCCGGTGGCGGGGAGGGGGCGCGGCGCGCCCGCGGACGGCCGGGGACCCGCTCGGCTCCCCACCTGTCGGTCCCGCCCCCGCGCGGCGCCTCCCCCCGCCCGGCCCCGTCGCCCCTGGCTCCGGGGTCCGCCGGCCGCGGCCGCTTAGACGCCCGAGGCCGGCGCCCTCCCCGCGCCCGCGGCGCGCTCCTCCCGGGCGCCTCGCACGCCGCAGCGGTGCCGGCGCCGCCAGCCCTCGGGGCCCCGGGCTGCGGGGGTCGGCCGCGGGCGGCGCCTCACCTGGCACGTAGATCTCGCCGCGCTCCTCGTCGGGCAGCTCGCTCCAGTTGCGCTTGCACGTGGCCACGCACGGCTTCTTCACCAGAAACGCGCGGGGCATCTTCGAGGCTGCGGCGGCCCGCGCGGGGCGCTTCCGAGGGCCGGGGCCGGGGCACCTCCCGGGCGAGCGGGGGGCGGGGGGCCGGGCCGGGAAGACTCGCCGAGGCGCCCGCGTCCCGCGGGAGCCGGTGCCCGGGTGGCCGGCGCGTCCCCGGCCGGGTCGCTCGCAGCCAGGTGCGCGGCGGCGGCAGGCGGGGCCGAGCGTCTCGGGCCGGGCGGGTCCCCGCGGCGCTCGCGAGTGCTCAAGTGCGGGCCGGGCGGCCGGGTTCGCGCTTTATTGGCTCGCGGCGCGGGCGGGGGGGGGCGGCGGCTCATTAGCGCGCGGCGGCCCGGGAGCCACGGCGCATGCGCCGGGAAATAACGGTGACGACCCGCCTCGGCGCTACCTGTCGAACCGGTTTCCACTCCGCTGCGGGTGAGGCGGCCTCGCGGCCGGGCGCGGTGCCCGGGCGGGGGCGGGGGCGGCTCCGGGCGCCCGGCTCCTGCTGCCCTGCCGGTCCGCCCGCCGCCCGCGGGGACCTCCCGGCCCGAGCGCAGAGTTGGCCGCCGGAGTTTCGGCGGAGCGCGGGGCGGGGGCAACGTTACTTGCACCGGCGCCCGCGCGCTCTGCGGGTGATGAAATGAAACTCACTCAACCGGGTCGGCCCGGCCCGGCCCGGCCCGGCGCGCCCCGGGCGCCTGGGGAGGCGCGAAGCCGTCGGGCGGGAACGGGCGGCCCGACCGCACTGGCTGAGCCGGGCCTCGGCCCGGGCGGCCCTGGAACCCGGAGGCCTGGCCGAGGGACTCGCCGGGCGCCTGCGGGGTGCAGGGGCGCCGGGCGGGAAGGCGGGGCGCGCGCCGCTGGTCCCTGAAACAAAGCGGGGAGCGGCTGGCTTGGCGCCCCGCGGAGAGCGCCCCTGAGAGCCTGCTCCCCGGCCCGGGAAGCAGGGAAGACCTCGTGGAGAAAGGGGCGGTTAAGCTGCCCTGAGCCCACAGAGACCCTGAGTGTCCAAGCACCGTCCTCATGGGCTCCCCCGCCACGCTCTCCCCCTGGGCCTGCAGCGAAGCCGCGCTGAGGACCCTGAAGCAGTCAGGCCCAACCCGCCGCGCCTGGCGACAGCCGCTGCAGAGGGCTCGCTCGCGGCCGTTCCTCCCCCAAGCCCGCCCTAGGGGTTCAGCCTGGGAACCTCCCCCCACCGTCCTGTCATGCTCCCCTGCTCCAGGGCCGGCGGGAGGGAGGCCCCACCTGGCTCAGGAGCAGGGACTTCTTGGAGACTCCAGGAGCTACGGGTCTGTGGCACTGGCCGTTAGCAAAGGCTGGGCTTCGCTTGCTGCTGCCCTGGGAAGGGCCGGGTGGGACTGGGTGGGACTCTCTGTCTTTAGCCCCGCCGTCCCTTGCCCCCATAGGAAATCAGCGACACTGCAGGTCAGTGCCAGCCGCAGGCCGCTCTCCATATTAAGGCTGGAACGGAGGAGGAGGAAGTGTGTCTGATAAATGGATTGACAGGTCAAAAGTCAGAAGTCGGGAGCAGCGTGCGCCAGGCAAGCCTGCAGACCTCTAGTCAAAGAGGAGAGCTTTTTGGGGGGAGGGTCCAAAGCCTTCTGACCTCTATGTACCCCCAAGGACTTCTTTGGGGTCCACCTGCATGGGTGGGGAGAGTGTGGGCTTCCGGGACACATGAGCCCGTGAGTTTGCCCAAGGGGCTTTCCTTGCCAGCCTGCTTCCTTGTCTGTCACCCCAGAATCTTATCACCCCTATTCTGGGGTGACTGTCAGGGGATGTGAGCCTTCCCTCTGCTTTACCCTTTTCAGCCCCCCACTCTGCCTCCTTTCCGGCATCTGACACTAAGTGCGCACCTGCCACGTGCATATCTTTGAACAAACTCTGGAAATAACATTGCCTGGGTGGTCTGACTGGCGGGGAGCCTTTGCCTGTGCCAGACCCAGGAACGCAGGACATACCCTGTCAGAACCTGCTGGCCAGTCCCCGGCGCAGAGACGGCCTTTCTCACGGGGGTAGTGACGCAAAAGTCTTCACTTGGGCAAAGACAGCCCGGAGTGTGGACCCAGGCGCGGGAGGGCCCCTCCTCATCCTCCCGCCGAGTCTCGCTGCGTCTCCAGCACCCACAGTCTCCCTCCACGCGGGGGCCCAGCGGGTACGGGAGGCGAACGAGGATGGTCACTCATTGTACAGTGACCCTCAGAGTGGGGGGCCGCGGGGTGTGTGCTTGGCTGAGTGTGCCTTTCCAGCGCAGAGACCCCACGTGGCCACATCTGTCCATTTTCCAGAAAACCCAGAAACCCACATCTGTATGTGAAGTCTGCCAATTTTTAAGTGCCGACTCGATGTGTTTTTAAGACATGGGGTGAGACAAAATAACTTTCAGATCTGACCCCCGCGCCCCCCGGGTGTGGCCTGGGGCTCGTGGGCAGCGCTGGAGCCAGACAGCACCTGAGAACTTGGGGAAACACTGGACTCGACTTCAAGCTCCATGAGGGCAGACACGTTCTTTTCCGCCCAGCCGGTGCCAGTGAGACATCATAACTCAGCCTTTCCCTAATTCAGTCACCAAATATTTGTTTTCAGGCACCTGCCATCTGCTCAGCCTGGGAGGCTGTGGGACGCAGGACAAGCACAGAAATAAGGAAGTGAGCAGGGCCGCGCCAGAGTTGACGCCGCCGGCGGAGTGACAGGTTTGGGCTGGGATCTGAGCTGAGCTGGAGGCAGGAGCCGCTGAGCAAAGCAGGAGCTGCTGGCGCGGAGGCCGCGGTGGGGGTGAGCTGAGTGTGTGAGGGAAGGGAGGGCCTGGGGACTGAGGCTGAGGGCAGGCTGGTTAGGCAGTGGGGCTCAATGTGGTGGGAAGTGGGTTGCCCCCCCCCCAGGGGGAGGGTGGCATGTGTGAGGGAGGGGGCGGGAGGGTGCAGGAGGAGCCGGGGAGGAGGAAGCCACTGCCATGGTCTGAGCGGGAGGGGAGGGGGGCCTGGCTCCCTTCTTGAGCAGCCGAGGAGTTGGATGGAGAAGGTTTGAATCAGGTCCAGTGCTCAGAGAAGGCTCCCGGGAGGGGCGGGCTGGGGTGTCCGAGGGGAGGCAGCAGGGGGTATGAGACCTGTGCTGAGGGGAGGAGCAGAGAAGAGCCCTGGGCCAGGCGTTGGGTCCCCCAGACTCAGCCCCCTCCTCCTCAGGGCTCCGTTTGCGCATCTGTAAGGAGGCTCCAGGTCGGGCCTGCTGCTCGCAGCAGTCAGGCGCATGGCAGTTAGCCTCTGCCCAGAAGCTGGCAGCTCCTGAAAATGGACTCAGCCATCAAGCAGGCTGGTGGTGCTGGTCGCCGGGACTGCTGGGCACACAGTCGCCTTCCAGTCACCCTGGACAACTCAAAGGGCTGTGGGTGACACAGACTCCTCCGCCCGTGGCTGGGTCCCTGCCCACCGGCTTCCCAACCCTCGGTGGGCACTGCCATGCAGGTGAAGGGCTCTAGAGGCAGAGTAGGCGGGCAGGGGTCACTGAGGGAGGAGGCCGATGAGCCAAGTGAGCCTGCCCGCGACGGCCGCGTGTCTGGCCTGCCAGACTCTCTCGTCCATTCTCCCAGGTGTGGGTGCCTTCCCCATCTTGCACACCGGAAGCACCAGCCTCCCCAGTACTTAGGGCCACAGCCTGGCGCCACTCATTTCCTTCCCCCTCACCCCACAATCCACCCACCAGCAAGTCCCATCTGCTCCCAGGTCACCAGGAATCCACCCACATCTCCATCTCCACAGTTACCACCTGGTCAAATCTCACCTGGACCAGGTGACTGGCCACCCACCTGTGACCAGCCTCCTGTGTCCCCCATTTGTCCCCCGAGCCAGTCGTCACCCCCCCGGACACACCTCCAGGGACCCCACCAACTGGAATAAAGTCCCGGAGGCCTGCGGTGCTGCAGCGACTCTCCTCCCAGCCCCTGCCTCTACCTCCCACTTGCTCTCTGCACATAGAGCAGGCCGCAGCCTCCGCCCAGCTCCGGCCTCCCTTCTGCTGCTTCTGCGGGAGCGCTCTGGTCACTCCAGCCCCGCCACCGTCCCCTCCTCGGAGAGGCTTCTGAATGCCCTAGTGGCCCGCCAGCCACGCTGTCCCACCCGTGCTATTTGTTCTGCAGCATCTTTTACTCTGTGAAATTGGGATTTGTCTTCTTGGCTGGTTGTCGGTCCCCAAATGTGAGTTCTGCACATGAGGCCCCATCTGGATATCACTTTTGGCAGTTTATTTAGGTACAACTCATATATCTTAAAATACACCTTGAAAGTATCCGATTCAGTGTTTTCTAGTATCTTCACAGGGATGTACCCATATCACCGCTGTCCTCCAGAACACTCTCTTCACCCCAGAAACCTCATACCCACTAGTAGTCACTTCCCATTCCTGAAACCCCAGGGCCGGGCACCCATTTGCTACAGACTCTCCTATTGGCCGCTGTGTTTTGAGCATCCTGCAGCCCGAGGCCCAGAGCTGTGGGGACGAGTCAGTCATGCCCCCCCTTTACAGAGGAGGCAGCAGGCTTGGGACCCCTCAGGAAAATGACTTTCGCTTTTGTAAGCCTTGTGTCTGGCGTCTCCCAGGTGGGCTGACTGCCCCCAGCCGGTAGAGAAGGGGTGAAGTGTGGGATGGAGTGTGGAGCTCCCTGCCAGCCCCCTGGCTGCAGCCGGGCCTGGGCCCGCACCTCGGCAAGGCTGCTTGGAGAGCGCCCACTGCCTGCAGGTGCGGGAACGCTTGGGCCCAAGCCCTCAGTGCTGTGGGGTCAAGCTCAGCTCTCGCCAGGCCTGGGCCAGGACCAGCAGCAGCCACACTCCCACGGGGAGCAGGCATCTGGGCCCGTCCCAGGTCCGGGACACCAAGGGGACGGCAGCAGCGGGGACGGGAGGAAGGTCTCGGAGGCAGCAAGGGCCGTTTGCTGAGTCCGGTCTGCTTCGTAGGAGCTTGGGTGCCCTCTCACCTGTGATGGGTGCCCGTGCTCGGGGACCTGCAGGTGGCAGTGAGCCTCACTGAGTCCATGCAGATGGTTCACCGGGAACCATTCATGGGTTCCCTCCTTCCAGCCCCGGGGCTCCAAGGAGCCAAGACCCAGAAGGCTGGCGGCTGCCAGAGGCCAAGCTGGGGCCAGAGGCAGCGTCGGATTTCCTGACCTGACTTTGAAGCCTGTCTCCTCAACTGTAAAAGGGATTTAATAATCCGTCCTACCTCCCCTGGAATGGCGAGGGCTGGATATGCAGTTATCAGCACCCTCTGGGCCTCAGACAGGGAAACCAGACAGGCTCCTGGTTACCCCCAGTGGCCTTCCCTCCCAGAGCTGCTCTCATCCTGGCCTCTTTCATCTTGAGTCTAATTAGCCAGGCTGCCCCACCCCACAGCCTCTCGGGCGGGAGCCATCACTCCCGTTTTATAGATGGGGAAACTGAGGCACCTAGAGGGAAGTGGTTTGGGGCTGCCGCCTGTGAGTCAACTGTGGAGCCAGGGCCAGGGCAGCTGGGACTTGGCTTTCCTGTTGGACTTGTCCCTGGAGTGGATCCTTGTCTCTGGCACCCAGGGCACCCCAGGCACCCAGATAGCCTCTCCTCCGGCTCCCCCCACCACTACCACCCATGTGGAGGGACTTGTGGAGCCTGGAGGAAGGAGAGAAACTATTTGGCAGCACCAGCATGGGGGCTCAGGCCTGTTTCATCTTCAAAGCCGGCTAATTAGCGCCACGGGCGGTAGTCAGAGGTGGGGGGCGCCCTGGGGTCTGGACTGCGGGTTCCGTGCCCTGGAAAGCAGCGCTCAGTGGGGCTGGGGAAGCTACTGGCTGAGCCCCTGAGTGCCCCAACCCGTCTACTTCTCTGGGAGCAGAGAGCCGAGCTCTGGCACTGCTTGGTTCCAGGGCTCTGGGGTGAGGCCTCGGTGTCTCCGCCCGTGCTAGACGAGCGCGGAGCTCCGTGACCGCCAGGCCTGCGAGGCTGCACGTCGGCATCCCGTTGTTTTCTGGCGGCATCAGGGCTGTGCCTCGCCCCGCCGCCTTCACCCTGCGCGCCGCACAGCCTCAGGCGAAGGTCAGCAGCTTCCGCCGGTCGCGACCCGGGCGCCGGCTCCGCGCCCCCAAGCGGAGCGGGTGGGGGGCCCGGGCCAGCGTCGGAGAAGCGAAGCCAAGCCCCGCGGGGCCCGCCGGACCGGTTCAGCCGGGGCCGGGGCGCGCACTTCCTGCGGGCGCCCTGGGACCGCACCTTGCACCCCCCCCAGCGGCCGCCCGGGCGCCTGAGGACCGCGCTCCGCGTCACCCCAGGGCGCGCGGGGGGCCGGGGCCGGGGCGCGCGGGGCCACCCTCGGCGGCGCGGCGGGCGCTGTCCAGCCCGCCCCAGACGGCCCCCGCGCGGGCGGGGAGGGAAGCCGGGCCCCGGGAGCCGGGCCCACCCAGCGCAGCGCCCCGGCCCGGGCCCGCGGCGGTTTCGGGGAAGGGGGCCGCGCAGCGGGACAGTTACTCAGCCCCAGCGAAACCGGCAAGTCGGCACCTGCCGGCCGGGCGCACGGAGGACGCGGCCGCCCCGTTACGGCCCCGCCCCGCGCGCGCCCCGCCCCGGCCCCGCCGCCCCCGCGCCCCGCCCCGCGCCGCCCGCCCGCCGCCCGGAAGGAGCCGGCCGGCCGGGCCCGCGGCGGCTGAGTCAGGCGGGAGGCGGCCGGCCCGTTACCGCGGGCGCCGGGGGCCCGGGCGGCGCTGTGGTTTCGGTGGCGGCCGCGGGCGGCGGCCTAATGAGCGCTCGGCACGCACCCCGCGCCGGCGCCCCGGCCCTGCGCGCCCGCCCCCGGGGGCCCTGGCGCCGCGCCCCCGCGCGCCCCCCGAGACCTCGCGGCTTCCCCCCGGGGCCCGGGCGCGGGGCCCCCGCCGGCGGCTGCGGGGCGGAGGGCGGCTGCGCGGCGGCCTGGGGGAGACCGCGGCCCCCTCGGGGGTGACGCGAGGTCTCGGGCGCCCCCTGGCGGCCCCGCGCGGCCCGCGCCCGCCGCCGCAGCCTCGCTCGCTCGCCCGCGGGGACCTGCGCCGGGCCATGGGGTCCCTGAGCCGCGAGGCCTGGGCGCAGCGCCTGGGCGCCTTCCGGGCCAGCCCGTCGGCCTTCATGGCAGGGCCGGAGGGCGAGGACCTGGGCCGCGACCTCCTGAGCGGCCTGAGGAGCGAGAAGCTGAGCGAACACACCAAGGTAGGCCCCGCGCGCCCCGGCCTGACGCCTCGGCCCTCCGCCGCGCGAACTCTCGTCGTGACGCCCCCGATCCCCTCCAGGTGTCCCTGCTGGCCCTGAGCCTGGAGTTCCCGGCCCGCCTGTGGCCCGACGCCCCCGCGGCAGAGGCCGCCGCCACCTCGCTGCTGGACACCCTGGTCCTGCTGCCCCCGCGACCCTCAGCGCTGCGGCGGCCCCTGCTGCTGGCGGTCACCGCCGCCCTGGGGGCAGGGGGCGCGCTGGGCCCCGCCTCGGCCGCCTCCCGCCGCTTCCTGCCCCTGCTGTTCGGGTTGGCCTGCGGGCGCGATCTGGGCCGAGGCTTCGGGCCCGCCGCGGAGCAGCGCCCCCTGCAGGGCACGGCGTGCGAGTGCCTGCGGGAGCTGGAGAGCTGCAGGCCCGGGCTGCTGGGGGGCTGCCTGGGGCTGCTGCGCGGCCTGCTGCAGGGACAGGAGGGCCCGGTGCAGCCGCTTAGCCTGCTGCTGGCGCTTGCCCTGCGCAATGCCTTGGTGATACAGAGCAAGGCCGGGGCCGGCCTGCGGGACCTGCTCACCCCCGTGCTCCCTCCTGCCGTGGGTGGGCCCTGGAACTGGACACTGGCTGCAGAAAGCAGTGGCCACCTTCAGCCCCAGGCCCCCAGCTGGCCGGCCGCTGAGGAAGGGGAGTGTGACGCCACAGCAATCGAGACCAGTCCTGAGGAGGCCCGGGAGCTGCGGGCGGCTGTGACCCAGCTTCTGGACGCTTCCTATCTGCTCACTCCTGTGGCCCAGGCCCAGCTCCTGTGGCTGTTGGGCTGGGCCCTGCGGGGCCTTCGGGGACAGCCTCCGGTGCTGTTCAAGCCACAGCTGGTCCGGCTGCTGGGCACGGCACAGCTGGCACTGCTGCACTCTGTCCTGGCCCTCAAGGCGGCCTTCGGGGAGACGTTGTTCACAGCCCAGGATGAGGCCTTGCTGCTCCGCCGGCTCACCCTGGCCGCCCAGCACCCAGCCTTGCCCCCACCTGCCCACCTCTTTTACCTGCACTGCCTCCTGAGCTTCCCTGAGAACTGCCCACTGGGCTCCACAGGAGAAGAAGCCGCCCCACTGCTGCTGGGGCCCCAGCTATGCCGAGGCCTCTTGCCCAGTCTCCTGCATGACCCGATGGCCCTGCTGGCCCGCCTGCACCTGCTGTGCCTCCTCTGTGCTGATGACGAGGAAAAGGAGGAGAAAGGGCAGAGTCTGAGCCCCCAGCGCTACTTGGAGGAGCTACTGGCTGGCCTGCGGCAGAGGGCGGCCCTGGATGGGGGCCCCCGGGCCTTGGCCACTCTCTGCTTCCAGGCCTCATACCTGGTGGCCCGCTGTCTGGCTGGGCAACCTGCCATGCTGACAGCCTTGACCCACGGACTGACCCAGCTGTACCTCTCCCGGCCTGCGCTGGCTCCCCATTTCGTGGACCTCTTGGATCAAGTGGGCCCAGAGTTGGGGGCACCCCTGAGGGTGCTGCTGCGGCAGGAGGTGGTGTCCAGGCCGGGCAGGGATGAGGCCCTTCGTTGGCACCTGCAGATGCTGGCCAAGGTGGCAGATGGGGACGCCCAGGCTGCCACCCTCAGCTTCCTGCAGGCTGCAGCTGCCCACTGCACAGACTGGGGCCTCCAGCAGGCGCTGCTACAGGTCTGCCGAGCCCTGTTGCGGGCAGGTGTCGGGGGAGGCCTGGTGGACTTGCTGCAGACACTGGCCGGGCAGCTGGACAGCCCTGATGGGCGGGACCACGCCCGCCTCTACTACATCCTCCTGGCGCACCTAGCTGGGCCCAAGCTGGGGGTGGCCCTGGCCCCCTCCCTTGCAGCACCTGCCCTGACCTCTTCACTGGTGGCCGAGAACCAGGGCTTTGCTGCGGCACTGATGGTCCAGGAGGCCCCAGCCCCGATTCGGCTGAGTGTGGGTCCCCGCAGAGCCGAGGGCCCGGTTCCTGTGCTGCAGCTGCACGTGGAGGTGCTGGAGCCCGTGTACTCGCTGGAGCTGCGCTTCCCTGTGAAGGGGCAGCTTTACGCCCCACTGGGGGCCATCTACGTGCCCCACCTGTGCCCAGACCGCCCCACCCAGCCTCTGCTCCTGCCCCTGCGGCCCCGGCGCCCCACCCCCACGCACCTGGAGGTCCATGCCCTGTACACCACACCTGCCGGCCTCACGTGCCACGCGCACCTGCCGCCCCTGTCCGTGAATTTCGCTGACCTCTTTCTGCCTTTCCCCCAGCCCCCCGAGGGGGCTGGGCCTGGCTTCTTTGAGGAGCTCTGGGACTCCTGCCTGCCAGAGGGCACCGAGAGTCGGCTGTGGTGCCCCCTGGGGCCCCTGGGGCTGGAGGCCTTGGTGTCCCGCCACCTGGAGCCCTTTGTGGTGGCAGCCCAGCCCCCCACTAGCTACCACATAGCCATCCGCCTGCCCCCAGACTCCAGGCTCCTGCTGAGGCTGGAGGCAGCCCAGGCGGGTGGCGTGCCTGTGGCCCTGCGCACCGACGACTGGACGGTACTGCCCCTGGTGGGGGACTTTCTCCGGGGGCTGTCGGCTGCTGTCTGAGCCCCAGGGCCAGGCCAGGGGGAGCAGCACCGTCGTCTTGCAGGGTCTTGCCCAAGAGGGACAGGTCACAGTCGGGGGCTCCTTTCCATAAAACTCACATCTACCAACAACCCTCTCTGCTGTGTTTTCTTTGGGTCCCTGGTTGGGGACGTGAGGGGGAATGTGGTCAGAGGCTCCTGGAAAGCTTCTAGACTAGGAACCCCCAGGTTAGAGGTTCCAAGGTCCTTCCTGCCCAGATATTCTCCAGAATCCCTGCCCAGGAGGCAGGAGGAAAACATATCTTCCTCTTGGCCCCCAGAGAGGGCCTGGTCCTGCCAAAGGCCACCAGACGTTTGGGACTGAGGCTCTGCTGGCCCATGGGCCTGCACTTTTCCACTGCCAGTGGCTGCCAGATCAGGGGACTATGGGGCCAAGTGTCCCCTTCCCTGAGGAGCAGGATCCCCCTGTGTGGAACAAGCTTGGATAGGGCCTGCAAGTGGCATTTGGAGCTATGAGCTGGGCTGACATCAGCCCAGGAAACCTGACCTGTGAACGTAGGCGTCTCCACAGGTAAGAAGCAGCCCCCCCCCTAGTTCTTTGTCCAAACAGGTAAGATACCGAGGCTGCAGGTCTACTGAGCAACTCTGCTCACAGCACAGCCCAGGGTCCCGGCCGCCGCATTTCATCCTAGTGACAGCTCAGCAGGGCCCCAGAGAAGGAAGTCTGGAGGCCAGAGGGGCTGAGCGATGTCCCTGCAGTCACCCAGCTGGTGGGCAGCCGGGCTTTGCCATCCTGGAGCAGGTCTCCATCCCATCGCGAAGGGCGGAGCCGGGTCCACGCCCGGGCAGCCCCTCGGAGCAGCGGGCAGCAGCACTGGGTGGGGGATGACCGAGCTCTTACTGTTCCAGGGAGGGGCCCCTGTCCCCTGAGCTCCCTACCATGGCTTCCTAGGGGTACCCTGATGGGGGCCAGGTCGGGGAGGAGGTCTGTCCTGGGCTCCAGCTCTAGCAGTGACTTGCTGGGTGATCTGGGCAAGCTCCTGGCACACCAGGAGGGCTTCCATCCCAGGAAACCAGCTTCTCTAGCAGTTTCCAGCAGGGCAGGAGGTTGGTCTGGTACTTCCAGAGTGAGCCTTGCATGCCGCCCCCGGAACTGCTGCATTCCAGGGTGGCCTGCGCCACCTGCCGCGCCCCGGGAAGCTGGGTCTGCACTCTGGAACGCAGGGCGGGGCTGCCATCACTGCCTTTCGACACCCACAGAGCCAGAGGCCACCACCGCTGCCGGACGCTCCACCCTTGACCTGGCGAGAGGCCCTGCCCTGCCGCCTCTGCCCGCCGTTCCAAGGGCATCTAATTAGTGGAAGCTTTTTCACACTAACAGCAAGGGAGTCGAAATTGTACTTGTTTTCTCTGACCTCAAATGCAGATGGCGGCATTAATCCTTAGCCTACGAGGAAGATGATTGGCCTGGGTAGGGACACACCAGCCGGCCGTCGTCCATCTGTCTCCCAGTCCGCGCGCCCATCCCATTGTGTCCACCACTCCCCCAGCAATGGGCCCCAGATGGCCTCCGGTTCCCCCAGCCCCTACCACAGTGTGTTGCTGTGGACATTCTTACATGTCCCCTTCTGGGTCCCCTTACTTGTCCCCTGAGGGACACACCAGATGGCTGAACTGCAGGGCACACGTGTGCTTGACATACGTGATGTCAAAGAAATGAAAGGTTTCAGCTCTGTGTCTCTGCCTAGGAGGGTGTCCGTGCTGGGGGGTGGGGCGGGACACTGGGCAGCCACCCTCTGTCCAGGCCCCCCGGCACCGCTGACCCCTTCACACACTCAGTATCCATACCCTGAAGGTCAGAACAGCACCATCTCCACATCCTCAGCTCCCACGCCACAGCCTCTTCCCAGACAGGAGACCCAGGTCCTGCCAGCCGCTGTACACCCATCTGGACATCGCCCGCCTCACCCACTGCTGCTTCTCCACTGCTGCGGGGTTTGGGCTTGGTTATGCTGCTGGTTCTGGCTAATGAAATGTCAAGTGCTGGTTCTTGGGCAAAGCCCGTCATCACCAGGCCTTGCCTGGCCTGGCCCCGCCCTGGCCTGGCCCGGCCCAACCCCCTCGCAAGGGTGTGTTGACATAGGACTGCTGAACAGTGAGTCGTGGGCTGACCTTGGCATACTGGATTGTGAATTCATCATCAGTCACCACGTGAAATGAGAGGGAAGACTCCGGGAGAATGTTGGCAAGTCAGTATTTTACTTGTGATGAGTTACAAGGTCACAATTAGGACTTAGACTTTAGCACATAAAAACATGGCACAGGAGGCCCAGTTTAACTTGAACATTGGAGAAATAGCAAGTAACTCTTTAGTATAAGTGTCCCAAATGTTGCATCAGACATACTCATATTAAAAAAAATAGATGTTTCTTTAAGATTCAGATGTAAGTAGGCACCCCAGGTATGTGTCTATGTAAAATGAGGTGTTATCTGTCAACTCTAGTGTTTATAACTTATTTCTTCCACTACCACTCTATCTACCTGTTGCCCCTGGGGGTCCTTACCTGATGAGGTGACCTGCAGGGTCTGAGTCCTCAGGAATTCTGCCTGTATAGAGTCTCTTTAGTCTTTTATGAACATTCTCAGTGGACCCAGCAGCCCTCAGATGCCCTGGGGACTGTCTCCACCATGTGGCGGCAACTGTCTCTGATAACCAGGATCCAGCACCCTTTAGAGCTGCTGGCCCAGCATCTGGAGGACAGAGTGACTAGATGTCCATCTTTGCTTCCAGTGCCACAGACCACGGCTGCCCCATCTGTGGAAGCACCCCCTCTCAGTATGAAGGATCCACACCAGCAGAGCCCAAAGCCGGAGGGATGGAGTACAGATATTTTGTGAGAGACTCTGGGTAGCTGAAGACAGTTGTGCAAATTCTGTTTCTCCTCCAAAAATATGGAATGAAGCAAAGAGAAAGTGCCATCCAAAGCCAAGCCCTTGGCCTAACCTGAAGACAGACCATGCGCAAACTTAAAAGTAATTGTAAGAAAATGCAAATGACAGCCTCCTCCCTTTCTGTTTCAGCCTCTCAGGCCAGGGGCTCTGCTGAATAAAGACTGGCTGAGAAAAATCGGGGGTGGATGGGCACAGGAGAAGTAGTAGGCCCCACACTTGATCTCAAGTCTCATGACAGAGACTAAGTTCACCCTAAGTCTGGAAATGCTTGGCAGCCTCTGGGGTAGGTCAGAGCTTGCATGACAGGGATGGCATTTGAAAGCATCTGTGCGACTTGAAAGGGGCGTCTTTGAGTCACACGGATTCCGGGAGAGCAAAAAGGCAGAAACGGAAGGCAAAGTACCTTTTGGCGTTTGGGTGTGCAAGCGGAAGTAGTGGAGAAACTTCATGGCTCTGCAAGACAATAGAACAAAATCGGAGGATCTTCTTTCTCTCCATGCTCAGAACAATCAACGCCACTAGTGTCTGGACATGCCGTGTTGGCAGCGGAGCTGAACTAGGATCTTGTAAAACACCCAATAGTGCAAAAATGAACAAGAAGATGAACAGGTCCACACAGAATTGCTGCAAAATATCAGAAAATTAATATCACATGTCAACCAAGGAAAATTCACACAAACCCCCAAAGTGTGAGCCACGGAGCCAAAGAAAACTGTACTACACAACTAAATATACTTGAATGTGCTTGAAATAAGCATTTGGAAGCCACCCTGATGAGACATTTTTTTAAATGAACAAAACCCAGGAAGAAATGAAAAAGTTGATTGATTCAGCAAAGAAATGGAAGAAATAGATTAAGTGATCTAGAAATAAAAATGAAATCACAAGATGCCCCCAAGAGAATAAACTCAAATAAAAAATTTTTTTAAAGATTTATTTATTTTTATACAAGAACCGGGGTACAGGCCAAAGGCACGGGAGGGTGAGAGGATTCACCAGAGACAGAAGGGAACAGATTAGGCAGATGGACCGAAATACCCCGCTGAGGGGAGCAGCAGGCAAGACAGGAGAGGTCTGCTGCGCCATGTGGGAATCGCCCTGGCCGGCCAGGAGTCGAGCCCGCACTGCAGAGGCTGCGGACAGCTTCACCAGCGCCGCGCTCGACCCACTGCGCCACCGGGGAGGCCCCTCAAATAAAAATTTAATAAGGGGCATTGAAGACAGAAAAACAATCGAGACTGAAAACGAGCTGACGTAGGGGCAGGAGAAGCGGCGGGCGGCACAGAGTGGCCCACTTGTTCTTAGGCCGTTGTCCCGCGCATCACGCCGGGAATATTCCCTCCTGACAGGAAGTGTCCGTGTTACACAGCTGACTCTATGAGGATGTCATTTCCTCCTACCTTGGCCTTGGGTCTACACGTGTCTTTCCTAACGCAAGAGAATGGGAACAGCAACGGAGGAGCAAACACAAGTCAGATCGATGGAAAAGGAGTCACCGTCGCGGGCCCAGACTGAGGGAAACGCGGCTCATCCATATATTCACAAGTATCTTTTGACAGTATCACAACCACCAACGTGCGCCCATGGCCTCCGGAAACTATGAGATTTCAAACACACTTTTTCAGAAACTCCTCAAGATGTCCAGGCAAAGTGATCCGGTCGTAAAGGCAGAAGAATCACGACGGCAACAGACTTGAAAACTCGCATCCAAAGCCAGACAACAGCGGAGCCGTGGTCGTCGCAGCGGGTGGAGCTGCGCCCTGGGCCCGCGCGATGGAGAAGCAGCTCCCAGCCCGGGAGGCGGCCTGAGGGAGAGCGCGGGGCGGGGGTGGCGTGGCTGGGCTAAAGCAGAACCAGAGCAGCTGACGACATGGGCGAGGAAGGGAGGGGAGGGGAGGACGTAGGACGAGCTCCTCTTGGCTGGCTGAGCGCTTCTCTGCTCCAGACACGCTTCCCTGCCCGCCGGGTGGGACACTCTGGGCCCTTTAACCGTCTCTGCCACCGGCGCTGCTCGGTGTGGTCAGCAGAGGGCGCGGGGAGCCGCTGAGGAGGAAGGGCCTTCCTCGCCCGCCGCAGCGACTGGACAGCACCCCCAGGGCCTTCCCCGGCACCCGGGGGTGGGGTCCCCGCAGGGCCCATCAGCGCAACACCCCAGTGACCTCTGGCCCGGGGAGCGACGGGCAGGCACGTCCTGGGTCCTTGGGAGTTCTCTTTACCCCTCATTCTTCCAGGCCTTGTTACCTCAGCCCCTGCTGTGGTTATTATTATTATTTTTTAAGATTTATTTTATTTATTTACACAAGCACTGGGTACAGTCAGAAGCGTGGGGAGGGTGAGAGAATTCACCAGAGCCAGAGCGGGGAGCAGAACAGGCAGACTGACGAAATCCACTGCTGAGGGGAGCAGCGGGCGAGACAGGAGAGGTCTGCCGCGCCATGTGGGAATCTCCCTGGCCAGGAATTGAACAGGCGCCACGGAGGCTGAGACAACTCCACATTGAACGCTGCGTTCAATCCGTTCAAATCCGCTCATTTTTGTACAGTAATTGGTTTCTCCCCTCAGATTCCTACTATTGTCTAAAGATGGATTTATAGTATTTTATGCAAGCTAATTCCCTGGTTTGGCCGGGGCGCACCGGCTACATAAGATGTTAGCATTAGGAGATGCTGCGTAAAGGGCGTTTGGGAACTCGTTCTAGTTCTCTGAGTCTAAAACTAATTCAAATAAGAGTTGAAAAAATTGCAAGACTTTTATTGTCTATAAGAAAGGAAAGTCACTCTTACTTTCACCTGTTGTTCCCACACCCTTGTATTCCAGTCAAAAGTGAGAAAGCACCACATGATAGAATCCTCTCCGAGCTCTGTTCTCATTGCGTTCTTAGATTCTGTTTCTTGTCGTTGACCTTTCTGTGCCATCACTTGGTCACTTTGATTAATGAAAACCCAGGGGTACAATCAGGACATGCGCAGACCACGTCCTGTGGGAGCCACCTGAAACTGGAAAGATGCTGTGTCCCCGGGCAGCGGACGGGGTCCTCGGTCAGCACTCACCGCTCCGTCAGCCAGTGGCTGGAGACACTCGGCGGAGCCCAGCGTCCCCAGTGCTGGCCCCTGGCCTCACTTTTTTGCAACCAGAAGTGGACCCGGTGTTCGGAGCAGTGCTGTGGGGGAAACAAATTGCCATCAAAATGTTGGCGGAGGCCCTCTGGTCAAGGGAGGCAGAGCCATCTCCAGAAGAAACGAGTTCTAGTGAGGAATTTCTTCTCCTCCCTGGAGGGAGAGATCTAGTTGGATCCACCTGAGAGCACCTGGTTGATTGCGGGGATCTAGTCTGCCCAGTTGGGAGCTCAGTATCTGTCTCTGTTCTCAGCAACGGCTTTTATCCAGGGCGGCAGGCGGACCAGCCTTGCTGAGAAGAGCCTGTCATTGAGCTCATCACGCATAACCTTCATTCCTGGACCATGACGGCCTGTCCCGTGATTCCTGAGGGCCAGGACCGGGAAGGAACGCGCGCCCCCTCCCCTGCAGACGCGCTCAGCGCTCTTTGCGGGCAGTCCCAGGAGAGGATGTTCTTGAATTCTGAACCCGCCAACCTAAACGTTCAGAAGGCAATTTAAAAGGCAAAATGCATTTATTTGGCACCTAAGAATTGCAATTTGAGGTACAGGGACTCAGGTGGAAAACCTCGAATGCACCCAGGAGATGCAAATTTGGGGTTGATATGGGAAGTTAAAAGAGTTGATTAGAGTGAACAGGCTTAACTACTCTCAGCTGCACACAGCGGTGGCACTGGTTCTCTGGAAAGGATGGAAAGGGAGTGGACCGAGCCTATCCTCAGGCTAAAAGTCCATAATGGATGACTTCTCAAACAATTGTTTGCTTGATTTCTTGAAGCAGTTGCTTTTGGTCGCAATGAATGGAGACAGGTAATGCAAATTCTCTGCCTTGCCTCCCCAGCTCACTTTTAAGTGCCTTCATAGATGTGATCCTTCCTCAGACCCATCCCAGGAAGTCACCAGACAGCCCTCGTCACCAGTTTTCTGACCACATTCTTCCCATGTTCCCGATGACCCGCCACGCCTCTACTGTAGCGCACTGGTTCTCGAATGGGGTCGGTGTTGTCCTCCGGGGGACTTTCAGCAATGTCTGGGGACATTTTGGGTTGTCATGACTTCAGGGGAGGTGGGGGAGGGGCACTCCTGGGGCCTCAGGGGTCAAGGGCAGGAATAGTGCTAACTCTCCTGCACCCTTTCCATCCTTTCCAGAGCCCCACGTGAGGGACCCACGTTGTGGTGGCTCCACAATGCCGAGCTGCACTCTGGCCGCGCGGATAATCAGACTCCTGCTCTGCCTCCGGGACCGGCAGCAGCGGTGCCGACACAGCAGCCCAGCCCTATGCCGCCACCCGCCAGCCACGCTCCAGCATTTATTCCTCACTTCGTTGTTGTCAGAGAACTACCCTGGAGGCCAGAGGCCTAGTGAGCAGGATCTGTGGCTGGAAGCAGGGATGGGGCCCTGGGGGTGTAGCTTCCATCTTCAGAAACTGCTAGAACCTGGTCTCCGAAGTCCCGCCTCCATCTGCAGATAGAATGCCACCGAGCACGTCTGACCTCATGGCAGGAGGATGGGGTGACACCCCCTGTTGCTGAGGGGTGGCTGGGGTTGTGCGGTGACTCCATACCTGTGGTCAGGCATGTGATCTACACCCGCAACCGAAAAAATCAGAAGCTCTTTCTCAAAGGAAGAAAACCTTTTTCACACAGCGTGCACAAAGCCCTCACAACATTGGGGTCCTCCAGATGCGGTCCTAGCCCAAACTGACCCTTAGGAGTGAACACATCTGCTGGGGTGCGAAGCCCGGCGGCCAGCAGCCGGCACCACAGCCCAGGGCCTGCAAAGAGTCTTAGAGACACGGTGATGAAGATTCTTGAATGTTTACTAGTATTTTTAAAAAAGAGGCCAGACCAGAGAAAAGGTGGACAGATGCTCATTATCATCTAAAAGTAGAATTTCAGAAATAAAACACAGGGGGGCTGTTCGGCAGAAGGGAGGAGCATCGGGAAGCCGGAGAGACCCTTTTGGCAGCTGAAGTATTTGTTCCCTCAGTCTCATCCATTCCTCCCTCCCTGGTAGAAGATTCCTTACCCCACCCTTCAACTATCTCCCTGTTGACCTTCCCCCACCTGCTGATGTAGGGATCGGCCAAGTGACTGATATGGCCAGGGGATGTGAGTGAAACACTAAACTCAAAAAGAAGCTTTAAGAATCCTGGCGTGGGCCTCCCTGGTGGCCCAAGGGGTTAAGTCTCAGCACTATGAAGCTATCGGCAGCCACAGCACGAGTTCGCTCCCCGGCCAGGGAGCTGACCCACATGACGCAGCAGATTTCTCCTGTCTCCCTGCTGCTCCCCTCAGCAGTGGATTTTAGTAGATCCACCTGTTCTGTTCCCCACTCCGTCTTTGGTGAATCCTCTCATCCCCCTGGCCCCTGGCCCATACCCCAGCTCTTGTATACATAAATAAAATAAATCTTAAAGAAAAAAAAGAATCCTGGTGTGGCTAGCTGTGTCTCCTCCCCCGTCACAAGCACACCACATCCCACATATGTGCTGTTACTTAAGGCCAGATCCTGGAATGAACACCCATGGAACTAGCCAGTGTCTGCTGCAGCTAAAACTGCAATCTGAGGAAGAAATGGACCGTTCTTTATTGGGGTTGTTTGTGCAGTGGAACGTGACCTAGAATGCTGACTGCTACAGATGTCCAGACGAGTAGTCAAAAACAGAGCTAAGATAGGGCCGGCAATCTAACAGCGCAAGTGGAATGTTGCACCTTTTCATCAACAGAAGAAAATGCAGCTTACCCGAGGACATATTTGAAATGTGTGTTGCAAATGTGGCAGAATTAAGTCCTAATACTTTTCAGCAGTTTTCTTCCCTCCCTGCCTCCCTCTTTCCTTTCTTTGTCAGGTTTAGGTCTTAATGTTATCCTGCTTCATAAAAGAAATTAGGAAGTTTTTCTTCATTTTAAGCTTTCTGAACAAGATGGAGAGCATTGGGGAGAAGGAAAGGTGGCTTTTCTGTGGATTGCTATGAGCAAGAGGGAGCACTTCTAGGATGGACTGTCTAAACAGATCTTAACAAAGGGAAGACAGGAAGGAGATAAAGCTGCACTTCGTAAAGAAGTCATCATCAGTGTCTCCCTGGTGGCGCAGCGGGTTGAGCACAGCGCTGTGAAGCTGTCTGCAGCCTCCGCAGTGCCGGTTTGATCCCCGGCCGGCCAGGGAGCTACCCACATGGCGCAGCAGACCTCTCCTGTCTCGCCTGCTGCTCCCCTCAGCAGTGTATTTCGGTCCTTTTGCCTGTTCTGCTCCCTGCTCTGTCTCTGGTGGATTCTCTCATCCTCCTGTGCCTCTGGCCTGTACCCCAGTGCTTGCATAAATAAAAATAAATAAATAAAATTTAAAAAGAAGTAATCATCACTTATATTTCCAGGGATAAGGGCTGTCTTGTGATTTTCGTGGCCTGGACAGTGCTGTGTCTTAGGTGGCACTAACACTATTCCCAAGTGCTCTTGCCTTTGCCTGTTCTCTCCACTGGACAGAGCCTCTGCTGTTGATGTTTTGTGAAATGGTTCACTGTCAACAGGACAACAAGGCCAGTTCCTCAATGTCCTGGGAGGTCTTTTCTCTTTCTCAAATCAATAAATTAAATGCAATCTTTAGTTTTAACCTTATTTTCTAGTTTTGTATGCTTGTTTTTGTAAATCAGAAAACTTGACGAAACATATCTAAGTTGAGTATCTGAACAAATAAACATTAGAGAAAAGGAACCAACGGTATTGGAAAAACAAAGAGACAGGGAAAATCAAAAAAAAAAAAGGGAAGGACTGACATATCTCACTGCAATACATAAAAATATTCTATCTGGTAAAATTTATTTACATACAGGTTTGCAAGACAACCCACAAACCCGGATAAAATGTCTTCAGTGCTTTTGAGGAAGGTAGATCCCCAGTAAGCTAAAGATAAGAAACCTCCATACCAGTCAACATAAAAAGTGAACTTTCTAGAATCTTTAAAATTTTTTTTTACTGTCAGAGTGTACCATTTATTTCATTTCAAGAGTAAGAGCTGGGCCTTGAACACGGCGAGGCGGGGCTTGCAGTGGAGCCTCAGGGCGGGACTACAGTTCCCGGGAGGCTGTGCGCTCACTCTTCCGCCCTCCCGAGAGGCTCCGCGCGCTTTACCCGCCAGCTTTGGCCTCAGCCCGCGAGACGCGGAAACGCTGAGGATGGACAGCAGCGACGAGAGGGCGGTGGAGAAGCAGCGGGTCCACATACGCCCCGACACGCTGCGCGACGCCGCCCCCGGCACGTTGCACCTTCTGCCCTGCGAAATCCCGGCGAGCCGGCCCGCTCCGGTGGACTGCTTCTTCACCCCGGCCCTCCGCCAGGGCGCCCACGGTGAGCGCGCGCGCCGGACTACGGCTCCCGGCAGCCCCCGCGCCGGCGCCGCGCTCTCCTGGGCGAGGAGCGCGACGAGGGCTTCTGGGAATCGTGGTCCCGGCGGAGGTGGCGGGAGGGCCGCCCCGGGCTTGCTCCGCGGAGCCGACCTGCCCCCCCGCCCGCGCTGAGGCCCCGCGCCGCCTCCTCCAGGACTCGAAGCGTCGTTTCGTGGCCGCAGCCTCCGGGGCGAAGAAGTGACGGTGCCGCCTGGCCTCGTCGGATACGTGATGGTCATGGAAGAGGAGGGAGAGGTGTCGGGGCGGACGCCTTACTTCCCGCGGGCAGGCCGGGAGCCGGAGCAGCGGGAACTGGCGGAAGCCCCGGAGGCGCTGGAGCGGGACTTCGTGAGTCGAGGGGGACAGAGTTGGAAGGGGTGCGGGCGGGCCTGGGCTCCCGCCGCTGAACCCGGCCCCTCCCCAGGACCGCTTTATGGGAGCCACCGCCAGTTTCAGCGGCTTCACCCTGTGGGGCCTGGAGACCCTCCCTGGCCCGGATGCCAAAGTGCGTGGGGCCCTGACCTGGCCGAGCCTCGCTGCCGCGGTGAGTACATCCCTGGGTCTAACTCTCGGACCCCACCCCCCCCCCACTCCCGACCTCAGTGTTGCCTGGGGGTCCAGAGTCTTGCCCACGCGCACTCAGGGCGCTAGGCTGGAGCGCGGGTGTGACTGGATACAGATGGCGGGTCCTCGCCGCCTCCCCGCTGCCCACTGGTAGGGGCCAGGTCTTTGCAGCTGGGCCCCACCCTGAACATGCGCCTGCCCAGCCCCCACATCTCCGCAAGCCTATAGCAGAGGTGTGACTCCTGTTGCAGATTCACGCACAGGTGCCTGAAGACTGAGACCCAGGGCTTGAAATGGAGAGCACCGACCCCTTCACTCCAGTAAACCAACTGTTCACTTTGGAGCCCTGATTCACCCCAATAAACAAGTTCTTCCAGCCCTTGTGAGTTTGTGGGGACCTTGGAGCCCCTAGGCCCCACTGTCCTTTCTCCCACAAGCACCCTCATGACTGGCCTATAGAAAGTTTATTGCTGGGGCAGTGAGGGTTAAGACAGGCCAGAGTATTGCAGCAGTACCCAGCCCACCCCCAACTCCTCCTTTACAAAAGACGTTTTTACAGCCACCAGCCCTCTGTACAGAGCACCCCCCCCCCATCTCACTGTACACAGCTGCCTGGCTCTCTCCAGTCTCTGGTCCGCAGCAAGCACGGGCCTGCAGCCAGCTGACCTTGGAGTTGACCTGAGCCCTGAACTCGTCTTGGTGCTGGGCACCAGCCAGCCCCAACAGGGCCTGTCCTCCCCACGTGGACCTGTCCTCAGCCCCATCTATACGGGTGTGCCTCGTGGGGGCTCTGGTGGGGGTGGGAGGGGCTGTCAGTCGCAGTTCCGCTGACTTGACACTGCCACAGCGGTGCCTGTCACCACTTTCCCCTCTTGCTCCAGTCCTTGGGAGTGAAGTGCAGACACTTGGAGTCAATCCGAAGGAGCCGCTTGAGCATAGCCCGTTCGTGGCCATCCACGATGTCCTCTGACAGTGTGAGGATGTACTGACCCTGGACAGGACAGGGGCCAGGCAGGTCAGCCCACCTGGAGCCTGCACACCACACCCCCACACCTGCTTCCCCGCCCGCCTTGCTACCTTGTAGTAGTTGATGAGGTTGAGGTACTGTAGCGTGGAGATGACGTCCTCCTTCTTGATACTGGTGATTTCACTGATCTCGCTGTGGGAGAGCAAAGATCAGGTCCCCTGGGGGTCTTCATCTGCCCCAAGCCCCCAGAAGCCCCCGGCAGGGAGTGAGAAAGCCCGGGACAGGCCATGCACCCAGGGGAGGCGCGCTGGGCTCACTTGATGGTGATCTGAGGCCTTTCCCCACTCTCTGACTTCAGCCCCATCAGGATCTCCAGGATCGTCTGGGACCAGTAGCTTCGGTAGGAGAGGAGGCCAAGATCCGAGAGGGGCTTCTCAGGGGTCCCCGTTTTCCCTTCCACTTTGGACAGTTCATAGCCTAAAGCGACGGGGGAGGGGCAAGCAGGTAAACGGTCAGTTCCTGCAACCAACATCCAGAAGCCTGGCCACCTTGGCTGTCCTGGGACGGCTCAGTGACCCTGGCGTGCGCTGTCTGCTCTGCCCTAGTTTCCTCCAAGTTTTCCTGCGCTTTCCCGTCGCCCTTGAGGAGGTGCTGAGGGCGCTGGTGGTAGCTACCATCCGCGAGGAGGCCCTCAGGAGCCAGCTAAGGCTTACGGGTGGGCAGGGGCGTGTGGAGAAAATGGCTTCTGGAAAGAAGGTGCCACGGACTGTCCTTGGTCAGGTGGGGCGGGTGCCTGGATATGTGAGGAGGGCAGGGGGAAGACCCCACTCCGGGTCCAGGCCCGAGGTCGCTTGGATTCTTTCGCTTCAGCTCAGCTCCTCTAGTGTGACCCCAGGAGTTAGCTGCCAAGACAGGCTGGCCTGAGTGGGTGGTGAGGGGGGAGGCACACCCAGCACCGCCCAGTCAGAGGGGGATGGGGGTGGGGTGCGCTCTGCTGGCCACTGAGCTCTCCTGTGGCTCCTTCCCTCCCACTGACCGAAGTGTCCAGCCTTCCTCTCCCCTGGGCACTGGCAGGTGAGACCCTCATGCCCTGCACAGCCCCGAGCGGGTTCACATCTCTTGGGCATTCTCCTTCTCCGTCAGGACTTGGGGTGTCCATTACTAGCTGTCCTCACCCTCAGTCAGCATCAACCCATGTTGGACCACAGCCTCATGGGCTTTCTGGCCCTTAGTACATCTTTGTCAGCCAATCTGACCCTCTTGTCTCGGGACGAGGGACAGGTTGGTGCTCTGGCGAGAGGAAGGGACATGCCAGGGTCCTCAGGGTGCTAGGGACATGGTGCAGGAGCAAGTGCTACACACCCCTCCTCAGCTGCAGGGGCTCCTGGCCCCTCCCCAGTGAAACCTGCAGGGTGGTGAGCACCCCCACTGGGCAGAAGGGAGCACACCTGGCCACCCCACCTGCGTCGCATCTCCCCCAAGGTCTGAGCACCGGGGCTTCCCTGGGTTTAGCCTCCACCAGCTCTCCCAGGCTCACAGGGTCCTGAGAGGACACAGCCCCTGCCGACTAGCAGTCAAGTGGACACAGCGTCAAGCTGCCATGTCTTCCCCAAACAGCTGGGATTCCCTCCCATCCCCCTGCTCAGGCTGGGCTGGCGGGTCAGTGAGTAGAGAGCTGATGGAGTTGAGGGTATGAGGCTGGGAAACAGGGACTCTCAGAGCTTGGGGGACGCTGAAGAGTCCACGTGTGATGAGGGGCAGAGTCCTTCTGGGCCTTGAGACTAACCTGCCTATGTGTGGGAGCAGAGCCACCTCACTGCCTACATCTGTTTGCTGGGTTAGCGGCATTCTGAGCATGTCCGTAGGCCTCAGGGGAGCACAGGGGCAGGACCCCGGGTCCTTGGCCAGGAGCTCGTCTGACACTACCAGACGGATGACCCACCCTGGCTCGCTGGGCACAGACTCAGATTGGGGAACAGGTGCATGGTGCTCAGAACCTTGACCCAGAATTGGTGAGGGGCGGAGGGCTGCAGGTCAGTCACCCTGAAAGTGAAGAGACCGGAGAAGAGCCCCCTCTCATTTCTGGTCAGCCCCTTGGTGACTGGGCTGCAAGGCCAGGGCAGAGTCACAGCCGCCCAGCCCCTCCGCCAGAAGCCCCAGTGGGCACGCTGGCACCAGGCCTGGGTCTGCCAGCACCCACCCCAGCCCCAGGAGCACAGGTACTTACTGAACTCGATCAGCAGCTTGCCGTAGCCCCGGCGCTGGTAGGGTGGCAGGGTCAGGATGCAGGCCACGTTGTAGTCTTCCGTTGACTCCTTTTCCTGGAAGAGGGCGGTGGGTGTGAGGGAAAGGGCCCGGCTCAGGGCAGGGCCAAGCCCCAGCCCAGGGAGCACGCACCTTGGAGAAGTAGCCCACGATATGGAAGCCCTTGCAGTCATACTCCGTCATGACGTAGAAGAGGAAGGGGTCTGTGTCGTAGTAGAGAGTCTTGTGGTCGAGGAAACACTTGGCCAGGAGACACAGGTTCTGGGAGTAACTCTGCGAGGGGACAGGCCTGTCACCGCTCTGGGGCCCCGCCCTAAGTGTGGCCACTGGGCCAGGGACAGCCAGCTCCTCTGCCCTGGGCTCCAGGAGAAAAGCCGATCAGGCCCTCCCTGCTGCTCGGGCAGGCCACTTCTCAGTGTGGAGGGGCCCTGGCACCACTGTGCTCCTGCTCCCTATGTTTCCACCAGGCCCGCGGTGGGGTGGGGCACTGCCCTCTGCTAACAGCCCACAAACTGAGCTATGTCCCCCGGGAGACAGACCTGAGAGCAGAGAGAGCAACTCTGCCCTGTGGCAGGATTAGCAGCTTGCCTGTCAAGACACCCTGCAGCCACGCCTAGAGAGAGACTGGCTGGGGCCTCCCTGGCAGCGCAAGGGGCTGAATCTCAGCACTAACGAGCTATCGGCAGCTGCGGCCTGTGTTCAATCCCCAGCCAGGGAGCTGACCCACATGGCGCAGCAGACCTCTCCTGTCTCCCCGCTGCTCCCCTCAGCAGTGTGTTTCAAAAGATCCACTTGTTCTGCTCCCTACTCTGTCTCTGGTGAATCCTCTCACGCCCTACACCCCCAATTCTTACATGCATAAGTAAATAAAATAAATCTTAAAAAACAAAAACAAAAACAAAAAACAAACCAGCCTTTCTAGAACGAGGGTAAAGAATTCTGGAACAGAACAAGAGAGAGGCATTAGAGATCCCTTAACAGAACGACTAACCTTTCTGCTTTGCCTCTACCCATTCTTTCTTGCACTTCAGGCCTAACACTTCACCACCTGACGGGCACGGCACTGGATGCCAGGCCTGCACTTACGGGTACATGATAGTCACTACAGCAGCATCTCCCCTCATGCCCCGACACCTGAGCGGGCGCTGCCTCCGCACCAGGTGCTGTCTGTCCCTCACCGTCCTCCAGCCCGAGAATGGAAGTGTCTCACAACAGTCTCTCCAGGTTACTCCTTGCTTGTACCCCAAAGCCACAGACTAAGGCAGTTTTGAGCCCCAAACCCGTAGTGTCCCCCACCCAACTGACTTCATTCGCACCAGCTAAGCTCTCCGCTGTAACAGCTTGACCTCATGCCTTCTGGCCCGAATGACCCCTGCCTTTCATGTGCTGTCTCTGCGCCCTCCAGCCCCACTGCTTGGGGTGCCCGCACCCACCTTAGCCTTCCACTCAATGCTCAAAGGCCACCGCTGCAGCTTGGCCAGCCACCTCCTCCGGGTCCCGATGACCCACCCTGTCTCTCTCACAGCCCTGTCACACGGCAGCCCAGTGGCAGCAGCCAGCTGTTCTCCCCTCCAGTGGACGGTGCTCTCAGCAGCAGACTGTCTAGCTCCTGGCCGTCCTTGTCCCTGCCTGCATCTGCACTAAAGCAGGAGCTCAGTAAACACAGGGTGAGCTGTTCTGCTGGCCCGACTGGTGAATGTTTTTCTGAGCAGGAGGAAGCTACTCATCTGACTGCCCCTGCCCCCTCCCGGGTGCCCAGGCCCCAGGCCCTGACCTTGTTCTTACGCCCGTCGATCTCAAAGAAGGAGATGGTGCCCTTGCGGTAAATCTCATTGCCTGGCGGATGCCGCAGGTCACACTTGGTCTGAAGAAGAGAGGAAGATGAGTGGCGGGCGGGTGGAGGGTGCTGAGAGGGTAGGGTCCTGGGCCCTGGCATACCAAGTGACGCTGCAGACACTTGAGGCTCCGGCCGTATTTGAGACAGAACTCGCAGAGGTAGAGGACGGGTAGTGTGGTGAGCTCCTGCGGGTACGGGGAGAAGTACCACGGCTTGAGGCGGTGCCGGCCCAGCTCGATGCATTCAATGTTCTTCATCCGTGTGACGATGTCGTCGTGGCTCCGGTCAGATACCAGGCTGCCGGTCATGCGTGGAGCTGATGGTATCCCATCTGAGCTGTCCTGGGAGTCCTGCCAGGGCAGGGAGAGGCACTGGGTTACAAGAAATGACACAAGGGGGAGATCTTACAGCTCCCACAGCCCTCAGGTCTTTTTGTTCAAGCTTAATAGCCACGGGTGAGGTGCTGCACTTCCCACTTTCCTGAGAGACTTAAGAAGTTTCAACCACAGGTGTAAAAGATCACCCAATGACTGACCTGAGCCAGCGCTGCCTGGTTCATCCCACCAAGCCCATCGTGGTCTGCCATTCCCTCCACCCTGCCTATGCTCCCTCTCTTCATCCAGTTTCCTCCTTCCCCAGACCTACCTCATCAGTGCCCAAGCAATTCGATTTCCGCTTCCGTCCAGGCTGAGCTGCCACTGCCCTGCGGGCCGATCCATTCTGCAGGTGAGATGGTAGGAAGAGAAGAGGTGCTGTGAGAGGGGCCTGAAAGGGGCTGCCGGAGGGGAGGGGAGAGGTGGAGACAAAGAGAGGGTTTGGGAACTCACCTGTGGAAAAACGGAAGCCGGGGCTGTCTCGCTGGGCACTGGAGTTGCTGGTGAAACCACATCCACCTTCCGTTTCTGCAGAGAGAAACCAAGAAAGGTGGGTCAGAAGGTAGAGAAGGCGGGACCTGAGAGGAAAGCAAGGTCCCTGGAATTGCTGAGGGTACCGTTGAGCGGTGGTTGGGCTGCAGGCAGGAGCTGGAGGAGAGCGGCTGGTCGGGCTCGCCACCGGGAATGGCCTCCCGCTCCTTGGGCAGGTTGAAGCGGAGTGTGATCTGGACCGGGATTGGCAAAGTCTTCCCGCTGGCCTGAGCGGAGGCCGGCTGTAGAGATAGGTCCAGGGTCTTCCACTGGGGCGGGGATGGTAGTGGGGTGGGGGAGGGGAGCAGGACCCCTCAGTGTGTAGTGATCAAACCCCGCCCTCTGCCCTTTCAAGGACACAGCAATAGCCATTGGAGCCTGGGAGCTACATCTGCAATTTGGCCCCCATTCTTTGCAAGCAGAAGTGGGGGGGGGGGTTTACTGCCTCCTGCCCATCCAGGAACCCTGAGGCCAAGAGATGAGAGGAGAAAGCAGGAGAAAAGAGGTGAAGCAGGGGACCTACTCACCACCTCTCTCTCTGGAGAGCCGGGGCGGGACCCAGGAAGTCCGTTCTTGGTGGGAGTCTTGGCCTCTTTCTTGGGGAACTGGATCTTCTTTAGGTCCAGCCGCTCGTGGGTCACCCATTCATCCAGGCGTTTGTTGACTGCAGCAGTGGGGATGGCTCAGGGAGGAATGCCAGAGGCTGCCCCCCAATCCTACCCGCAACCCCACCTCACCCTAGCCCAGAACTCACAGTCAATATAATGGACATAGAAAAGCTTCCGGCCACTGATGTCCTTCACGCTCAGGATCTCAGCCAGGGCTGTGGGGATAGCATAGGCAGAGGCCTTAGCCCGGTCAGGCCATGGGGATCCACCTTCCCACGACCTGAGCTACACCCGGATTCCGGAGCCCCAGCACCGGGAAGCTCTCGCCCAAGCCCCTAGTCACCAAGTGCCGCCCCCTCTCCTGGCCCCGCCCCATCCATCGCGCAGCAGCTGGAAGCCACGCCCCTTCGGAGTAGATCTGCGTCCCGCCCGCCCCAGGATTCTGAGGCCCCTCCCCTTCTGGGGAGTCGTTTGACTCCCGCCCGCCTCTCGCCCTCCGGTTCCTTAGCCACGCCCCCCGACGTCACTCACGCCACTCATCTTCGTTGTCCTGATTCCGCCGCAGCACTGGCAGGCGGCAGCCCTCGATTATCTCCCCCTGGGGAGATAGCGCGGCGCCAGGGTCGGCTACTGGGGGGCCTCGGGCTCTACCCACCTCCCCTAGCTCCCTCCGCCCCGCCCCGGGCACCGGACTCACCACCTCCGCCATCTTCCCTCCCTCCACTGCCACTTCCGGCCCCTCTGGGAGACGTCACTTCCGGGACTGAGCGCGCTACAGGCCCCGACCTCCCGATGCCGGGGCGGAAGAGTTTCCTTGAGATACGCCGCTGCTTACTTGAGAGCGGAGAGCCGGCACGTTTGGGTGGCGGGTGAGTGGAGCGTTGTAAGCCTCGGGCCGGGTCCTGAGTGGAATCCCCGCAACGTGCATGACGATTGGAGGAAAATTGAGTCCGTCACGTGACGCCCACTGGGTGCGACGCCGATCACGTGGCTGCGACGCGGGTCACGTGGGAATAATGTTTGTTTGGACCGGCGGCGTCTCCTAGCGGCGGCGGGAGGCGTCGCCGGGAGTGAGTTGCGCATGCTCGGCGCGGGGCTGTGCTCGCGCTGCAGAAGTGCACGATGGGACTGGCAGGGCTTTGGTTCCTTGGGGTGGGACTCAGATTTCTAGGTGGTTTTTTGTTTTGAGCTTCTAATTTTAAAAGCTATACAGAAGTATTCATGCATTCAGCAAGTGCTTCCTCCCCGCCGCCACGTGGCAGGCATTGTGCCTGGCGCCTGGACGCCGCCGGTGGGTGGAGAACCTAGTGGAGCAGCTGTTCTTGGGAATTGGGAGAGAAAGGGACATAGATTTTAAACACTTATTATAAAGTAAGTTATGAAGTCTGTTAAAGTGGGATGTGTTACAGAAGCCGCAAAAAATCCAGCAAGTTAAAGATGTGTAGGTAGGTTGTGAAGTGTAGGCCTTGGGAAGATGTCACAACAGTCTTACCGGAGTTGGGCCTTTTGGCACGTGGAGTATTGAGGTCCTGAGGCCCTGCAGGCTCTTGGGAAACTTTTTGCCACCCCTTTAACTACATAAGAAAAGGAAGATTTGGGGGTTATTACCCAGAACTGGGATATTTAGTAGAAAAACCTTTCTATTGGGGAAACCTATCTATGTGGCATGGAAAACATCCAATTAGAGCATCTGGTCTTCCTCATGTTAGTTGCCCTCCCATCATATTGTTACAGGGCAGGGAGAGGGGCAGCCCAAACCCCGCAAACCTGCTTATTTTATATAGGGTTCTGCCATCCGCCATATTAACACAAAACGTGAGACTTTAATGGGAAGGAACTTTGATACAATTAGGAAACAATACAGGAAAGGCAAAGAATTTAGTTTCTAAATCAAGCACCCAAAGTTACCCGTCCCCTCGTGGGTAAAACTTTCTCCAAATGGGATTGGCCCAGAGCAAGGCCCCAAAGCCTGCCACAAGTCTAAAGCATCTTCCAGTGGGGACCCACAGAAAAAAGTCAGAAACAACCAGACAAGCCCGGAAGGAAAAGAGCAAAATCAAGATAAAAGCTGCCATTGTCACCTCCCCACGGGTCTCACCCACATCTGTGACACCCCGTCCACAACCAAAAGACAAGCGCAGTTTCTTCACTTGTCTCTAGGCTCCACGTGCCTCCTCCAGGTCTCCTGGATCTCCATCCTGCTTCCCTCCTTTTCAGTCTCTTTTCCATTTTCTTTTCTCCCTGCTCAGCTCCACCCTCTCTTGGGAGGGGCAGGAAACCTGGAACCTCCCCCTTTCCTGGGGACCACCCTGTTACAATATGACTCCCTCCTCTTGAAAGCCCAAGCACTCTATCCTGTTCCTTAAATCTAGATAGCGCTCTCTCTCTCTTCATTTTGCCCCATTCGCTTTAGCAGTGACTTCCATGTTGATTTTCCATCAATATGTAATTTTCTTTTATGTAATCTATCTGATGTTAATTTGATTGCTTGACTGGCCCAAGAAGAACCCTGAGGGTTTGGGAGAAATGTACTAGCTCCTCCTACAGTTGAAATTTTGAGTAGGGTGCTCAGGACAGCCCTGGCTGAAAGTGTATTGTTTGAGCAAAGATTTCAGGGAATGAAGGGAGCAGCTGTGCAGGTATCTTGGGGAAAACTTTCAGAAAAATACACAATAAGGGGGAGCACAATTATATCTTCAGATAATATTGGGGAAATGTTTGTAGTGAATCACTTTGTTGTTTTTTTTAAATTTTATTCTTATATTCCCCATACACTTGCAACCCCCTTATTTTGACCCCAATCCCTCCTTTCCCCGACCCCCCCCCCGCATAGTGTGTCTCTGGTTCACAGTTGTTTGTTGGTTTTGATTTTTTCTTTCTTATAGTTATTCTTTTTCCTGGTCCCTTATTTAGGTTTTCTAGATTCCTGCTATGAGTGAGACCATCCGGTATTTTTCTTTTTCTTTCTGGCTTATTTCGCTGAGCATGATCCCTTCCAGCGCCATCCATGTTGCTGCAAATTGCATGTGTTTATCTTTTTTGAATGCTGAGTAATATTCCATGATGTATATGTACCACATCTTCTTGATCCAGTCACCTATTTTTGGGCATTTGGGTTGTTTCCAATCACTTTGTTGTTTTTTTAAAAACATATATTTATTTATCTATGCATACAAGAACTGGGGTTTAGGCCATAGGTGTGGGGGATGAGAGGATTCACCAGAGACGGAGTGGGGAGCAGAACCAGGAGATATACTGAAATACACTGCTGAGAGGAGCAGAGGGCAAGACAGGAGAGGTCTGCTGAGCCATGTGGGTCAGCTCCCTGGCTGGGGATTGAACTCAGGCTTCAGTGGCTGGCAATAGCTTGATAGTGCTGAGACTTGAACCCCTGCACCACCAGGGAGGCCCAATAATGAATCATTTTGAATGAGTGCCTTGTACACTACAGGTGGTTAAACTATGGCCTTGGACAAATCCAACCCTGAAAGCTGACTTTCCTATAACCAATGGGCTAAGAATGATTTTTACATTTTTTTTCACTGATTGGGGAGAGGAAATCAAAAGAGGGAGATTTCATGACACATGAAAATTAGGAAATTTATATTGCATTGTCCATAAATCAAGTTTTGTTGGAACATAGCCACACATTTTTGTCTGTTTCCTTTCCCATCAAAACTGCATTACTGCCTGAAAGAGGCCCACAGAACCTAATTAAGATTTATTCACTGACCTTATTTGCCAACTCCTGATCAATGGACGATTATGCTGTTTAATACAAAAATGGTTCCTTAAAAGTTAGTCGCTGCTCTGTGACCAACTTTTTCACTTTGTAAAATATATCCAATATGTCATTAGATTTTCTATAGTGCTGCTTCAAAGGCTGTGTAGTGTTGTAGCTTAGCTGCATCTTAGCTGCCCCAGCCAACTTCCTGTTTGGACTAGATCTTTCTAGTCTTCCCCTATTACAGTCTATGCCATGAAGAACATCGTTATCCATGTAACTGTCCATGTTTCTATCCCAGCGTGATTTGCATTGGAGACATGAGTGGGGAGTGACATGTCTGCATTTTAGGAAGGCCACCCTGGTGGTGGTGTCTTTGGATGGCAAGAGGTGAGTCCAGCACAGGACCATGGGAAGGCTGTTGAGATGGGCCATTCACTGCGCACAGTCAATGCGTGTTTACCCAGGGCCCACTCTGTCTCACTGTTAGCATTTTCAGTCCCTGCCCCCTGGTGAAAGTCATCAGTCACCCCCACGTTGCTAAGCCAATGGCCTCAGACCTCTTATCAGCAGCATTTGGCGTGGGCTGTCACTCCCTCTTCCTTGGAACACTCTTGTCCCAGCTTCCAGGATACCAGACCCTCCTCGTAGTTTCCTTCCAACTTCCCCAGCTGCTCCTTATCTCCTTTGCCGCTTCCTCTTCCTGTCCATGACCTCTAAACCAGCCCCATGTTCAGTCCTCGTCTTCATGTCTATGTCTCTGCTCCCACATGTCCCCTAGCAGCTCATGGATTTTAATTCCATTCATATGCTGAGAGTACTCAAATGTGTAACTGTAGCCAACTCTCTCCCCTGAATGCTCACTGCCCACTCAGCCTCGTCATTTGATTAGCTAGAGGGTGTGTGCAAACCACCCTGATCTTTCTTCCAGCCTGCTCCTTCCACCATCTTTCCTGTCCCCATCAGCGATGACTTCATGTGGCTTCTCTGCTGTTTTCACATTTGACCCATCAGCAAGTGCTCTGGGCCCACCACTTCTCTTGGCCTTCACCACCCTCTGGTGCCAGCCAGCGTCATCTCCATCCAGAACGACTGCTATCGCCTCAGCCACAGGAGCAAAGGGATTCTTTCAACTCAGACCATGACACTCTATGATCAAAATCACTGATGGTTTGTCATATACGCAGGGTAACTCCCAAAATCCTGATATAAATCCAGCTCCCCTCCTCGAGCCCTGCTCCCTGCCTCTCCCCTGCCCCACAACCCAACTACACGTTAGCCGCACTGGCCTCCAGGCATTTCTAGAACTTAAAAGGCACATTTCTCCTCTCTGCAATGTTTTCTTTCCATTTATCCACTTGACGTCATTCACGTCTTTGCTCAAATGTCACCTTCCCCATGAGGGCTTCTCTGACCTTCCCAGTTAGACCTGCCTGTCACCAGCCCACCTCACCTCCATCCTTCTTCCCTTGGTTTCCCTGTGTAGAATTTATCCACAGCTGTCGGTGCATATGTTTTCCTAGCTCACTTTTGGCTGTCTCTCTCGCATGTGAGCTCCATGAATGCAAGAGTGCAAGAGTCATATGGCTCTACCCAGTGCTGTTTTCCCAGCGTCTAGAATGATGTCTGTTGCAAGTAGGCATTCACCATCGAAGGGGTGAAGCAAATATTCCCAGTGGCTCAGCTTTGGCCATCACCGCCTTGGTCCCTTCATCTCTGCCTGCCGCCACGGCAGGGGCGGACTTCATTCTCCAGGAGATTCCCCTCAGGGTGGTGAATTGCCTGCGGCAGCCGCATCCTTTTACTTTGAAACCTGGAGTTTCCACCAGGAGTTTCTGAAGATTGCTGCTTTTATGAATCCAGAGCAGAATCGATTTCATGGGCACGTGATCTGAGCAGCTGAACACCACCCCTGGCTTAGCGGTGTCTTCTGCTTAGTTTTAAGCTCGGTCATGGCCATCTTGAAAGTCCTTTGTGGTTTTTATTTTGCATTGGGCCCCACCAGTTACATGGCTG